ACTAGGCGGGGCCTTTTTAAAGGTAACATTGGACGAAGCTGCCTGTCAATTTTGTTGCACTTAACGTATAAGTAGGAATAAGTTTTTTTATTTGAAACACAATTCAGGGTTCATTTTATGCAGTGGGAGGTAGAAACAACACTCAAGGCAACAGTTCCGATTCCGACTGGGTCGATAAATATAACCCCGCCAAGGATCAGTGGAGACCTTGTAGTCCGATGTCTGTAGCTCGCAATCGTGTCGGTGTGGCTGTCATGGACGATTTGCTGTACGCTGTAGGTGGAAGTGAGGGCAACAAATACCACAACAGTGTCGAATTGTAAGTTGACACTTCTTGTGGCAGTTAATGTAACATATACACCAATAAGAAACCACTCACCCTCAACTATTTACCTGCTGCATGGTGACTAGATTTTACCCAATCAATTGATGTTTTTATTTTACATGTTGTTTAATCTTAACAATAAATAAATAAATTGAACTTAATCAAAAATAAGAGAGGTCATTAATTTTTTTTTCAGTTACGATCCAGAATTAGACCAATGGACGAACGTCAAGCCGATGCACACGCAGCGCCTGGCAGTAGGAGTCGCCGTCGTGAGCAGGCTACTGTACGCCATCGGCGGTTTTGACGGGACCAATCGGCTTAGCACCGTAGAGTGCTACCACCCGGAAAACAACGAATGGACGATGGTTAACTCGATGCATACGCAAAGAAGCGGAGCGGGCGTGGCGGGCATAAATCACTACATCTACGTAATCGGAGGTTATGACGGCAAGAGGCAGTTAAATTCTGTAGAACGGTACGATACGGAAAGAAATACTTGGGAATTCATGTCGAGCATGAAAGTTGCAAGGAGTGCTTTAAGTGTAACAGTTTTAGACTGTCGAATATACGCTATGGGTATGTTAAAAAATGACGCCTACTGTTCGTCATACTTATCTGTCTTTTTAGGTGGATACGACGGACAGAATTTTCTGTCGACCGTAGAAGTGTATAATCCAATGTTAAACACATGGGAAGATGGTGAACCTCTTTCTTCAGGAAGATCAGGTCATGCTAGTGCTGTTTGCTATCAAAATCCCAACTGCCAGCTGCCAGCTAAAGAATGCTTAATTAAAGATAGAGTATTACCTTGAATACAAATTGTAATGTGTAGGTAGTAGTTGGTAATATTTACCAGTATGTTCTTGGTGATATTCATCTTAGTCATTTTTGTATAATAAATGTCATTATTTATTTTTTAGTATCTACACGATGTAATGCTGTGATTTCATTTATCTTGTAATTTGACATTCCTTCTACATTAACTTAATAAACATCATTTTTTTATCTTAACACTTGCTTTTAAAACTCATTAGTCTATGAGAGTAAAGGGACGCAAAAAACATTGGTCCAACAATTGATGAGTGCAAGACATTTTATTAGTATGCAGATCTCGCCCTGTAGACTATTTACACTTAAAAGTTATGAAGAAGAAAGTCGATCAGAAAGAAGAAACCAGATTCATCACCCAGTATACTCTTCTAATACAAATATTGAAGTGAAAAATTCCTCTCGAATTATACATATCATCATATATTATGTTCTCCTGATGGTGAGTAAAATTTAGAGAGATGAGTGCTTTATGCATTACGAGCAGAAACCCTTGTACAAATTCTCAGGGCCTGCAAGGTAAGTGTAAGTAACCAAGAAGAAAGTGACAAAACACAACTCCTGTGAATAGAAATGAACTCTTCAGCTTCCCTTATGATGTTCTCTAGTAAACATTTACAATTTTTCACATATAATTTTAGATTAGAAAAACATCTCTAAGTGGACAATGGACCAATTACATTAAAAGCTTCCTGGTCGATTTCGGACAGGTCATTTTGGGTATTTATATTCAGCGCACGGAAAGAATCAAAGGGACCGTGAAAAGTTTTTCCGTGCGCTAGCCTGAAAAGGGCCAGATACCATTATTTCTAATACAGGTGTAAATAAGGTGATTTCAATGAAGTATAATAAAAAAAGTTTTTTCCGGCCTCAATAAAAGGCAGTGTATAACCTTCCTTTTTTACCATTAAATTTCTCGGGAAAACACTTTTTCTTATTATTTTTGGTGCGTAGAATCCAAAACAATTCGTACTTTGTCGATCAGACTTCTCAATCAAAAGTTATGGACTAGAAACCAATTTCGAAAGCAAATTCAAAGGGCTGTAACTTTTGAACTAGTAGCCCAATCTTGGAACTGTTTGAAATTATGGATTCTACAGGCCACATTCTATAAGAAACATTTTTTTCCGGGTCGATCTGAGACAATTTTTTTTGAGGGCCTCAAAAAAAGGCAGTGTACAACCTTCCTTTTTTACCAAAAATCGACTGCACCAAAATATCTCGGGAAAACACTTTTTCTTATTAATTTTGGTGCGTAGAATCCAAAACAATTCGTACTTTTTCGATCAGACTTCTCAATCAAAAGTTATAGACTAGAAACTTAACTATCAGTCTTTAAAATGATCACACAGGAGCGAAATGTTTAATTTTTGAGTTTCGTGGTTTACTCCTTTGACAGCGAAAAGCACAAATCCCAAAATGTTGATAGCCTTGCCTGAGTTTTTGGTTAATATTAAAATAATCAAAGCAGAATACATTGTGCTGACATCTGTCTTTATTATTGGGGACTAACATTTTATCGCTAAATGCAGGACACTTTATTACCACCATTATTTTAGTTGGAACTTACACCTCAAAGATGTCGCCACACTAATTTTGTAATGTACTTTATGAAACTAACGTTAGATGTCAGAGCCCAGTTTTTTAAAACCATAGATATATGAAGTTTTAACCTCAAATGCATTATGAATGTTTGTATATTTAATAGTCAAAAATTAAACTTTGTTATCATTCCATTCTCGCTTACAGGTTTAAATTAGGGAACTGGCTACTGGGAGTGACAGGAAAGCGGCAGACTCAACCTTTGCGGAATGTGATACTGTTCGCTCTGGGTCGTGCAATCGAAGACATGTAGTTCTCGATGGATGAGAAACGTTAGCATTGAATTCAGACAACACAAATTGAAAAGGGAAATGCTTTGTAACCAAAACAGGAGGTCACCGCACCGTGGAGAACTCGCAGAAAACCCATTCTAATGCAATTCAAACTTCTCAAGGTTGAAATCGGAAAGATTACATGATTGCAGCAGCTGGCGATGGTGCGAAGCTATTCTTTAAAGAATTGAGCCTAGAGTTTATTTGATAGAACTACGGTTATAGAAACGATAGTGAACTTGGCAGCGAAATAAGGCAAAAGTGTTACGCAGTTTGCAATCACGAAAAAATGTGTTGTTTGTGCGATCTTCATGTGAAAGTTGTTGTAAAACGGTTCAGTTTAATGTATCTGTTATTGAAATTGTTCTTCCAAGGGCTTTAAATAAACTCCTATGCATAAGAAGTTACGAACTGCATAAATAAATGTTTTCTGTTCATTGTGCATGATGTGTTGCCTATAAACCAGGCTACACAAATATCGAGTGCCCATATTCATATTAGGGATTTGCTTGAATCTCCCCAATCTGCCGTTTTTATTGAGGGTAAGGAGGGCCTCCACGAACGAATGGCCCAGAGCCCCGAAAAACTTAAGAACGGCACTGCATTTAATTCATTTTAATTAATCGCATAAATTCAAATGAAATTTTAAAAGAAGTTGCATACGTGGCGACATCTCAACTAGACTACTAAAACTACAATTGATAGAAAGTGTATCGATTGCCATGGAGATGGCGCACTAGTATTTATTGTATTCTATCTATTCAAAAACCGGGCCTTTAAACTACAATTGTTCTACAGATCTTGCAAGACTCCGTACATTTTGAACTGCCATTTATTCAGATTTCTCAATCAAAATTTATAGACTAGAAACCAATTTCGAAAGAAAATTCAAAGGGCTGTAACTTTTGAACTAGTAGCCCAATCTTGGAACTGTTTGAAATTATGGATTCTACAGGCCACATTCTATAAGAAAATCTTTTTCCCCGGTCGATCTGAGACAATTTTTTTTTCGTGCCTCAAAAAAAAGGCAGTGTACAACCTTCCTTTTTTACCAAAAATCGACTGCACCAAAATTTCTCGGGAAAACACTTTTTCTTATTAATTTTGGTCCGTAGAATCCAAAATAATTCGTACTTTTTCGATTAGACTGCTCAATAAAAAGTTATAGACCAATTTCGAAAGAAAATTCAAAGTAGCCCAATCTTGGAACTGTTTGAAATTATGGATTCTACAGGCCACATTCTATAAGAAAATCTTTTTTCCCGGTCGATCTGAGACAATTTTTTTTTCGTGCCTCAAAAGAAGGCAGTGTACAACAGTACAACCTTCCTTTTTTACCAAAAATCGACTGCACCAAAATTTCTCGGAAAAACTCTTTTTCTTATTAATTTTGGGGCGTAGAATCCAAAACGATTCGTACTTTTTGGATTAGACTTCTCAATCAAAAGTTATAGACCAATTTCGAAAGAAAATTCAAAGGGCTGTAACTTTTGAACTAGTAGCCCAATCTTGGAACTGTTTGAAATTATGGATTCTACAGGCCATATTCTACAAGAAAATGTTTCCCGATCGATCTGAGACAATCTTTTTTTCGGACCTCAAAAAAAGGCCATGTTTTGTCATACTTTTCCAAATTATTTTCTTGTAATAGTTGAACCAGTTCCAATGAGATGTCGCCACGTACGTATCTATCTACATAAGAACATTTAACAGACTTTGAAAATGTGCAATTTCATGTAGGATACAGGCCACATTCTATAAGAAAATCTTTTTTCCCTGTCGATTTGAGACAATTTATTTTTCAGCCCTCAAAAAAAGGCATGAACCAAAATGTATAAGTTTTTTCTTTGTCAATTTTGGAGTTGCCGTTTTTCGGTGAAACTTACGACTAAATTCCATGTAAAAAGAGACCCTTGTGATTTTTTTGGATCCTGCTTTGGAATCAGTTGAGGAAAAACAAAAGATTGTAGTAGTGATAAATATCTATTTTTAAAATGGACAAATCTAATTTTCGTTACAAATTAAAAAATGATAAGAAACAATATCTTTATGTACTGTATTATTCACAATAATACTATATATAGGTATTTACATACAGTTCAGCAAATCAGAAAAAAACTTTTAAAAGGAGATCGACAATTTGCTGAACAACTCAATAAATAAAGAATATACTTATACTATTGTCGTAAATAACAAACTTAAAATACACTTAAAATATTTTTACAAAAATTCAATTCACTGTCTATTGTTTTCTGAAAGTTTCTCGCGCAAGAACTGAATTTTATTTACAAAATATGCTTCGAGGGATTCCGCACATTTAAAAAATGGAGATTCTTTGGGATTATAGTAACGGCAATTATCGAATATCTTCGTCATGTCTCCTATAAATTCGCTAAGTTTGTTGTACGACTGCTCCGTTATTTTCGTTTCGACTTTCTGCAAATCTACAAAAGGAAAATGTTAACGATTAATCGCGAGGAAATTGTTTCTAATTACCCATTGGTTCTTTAATTACTCGGTAGTAATCGGGTGCTTCGTTTGGATCGACAGGTTCCATAAAGGGCCAAGCACTTTTGTGGCACTGAAATGAATCAGTTGTTTAGTTTAGATCAGTTTTCAAGATCAATGTGGCTCAGGTAAATATACTACAGATAACTCATCACAATTGGCAACAGTGACTTAGAGTTAAGCACTTTGTAAAATTTGAGGACTTAAGGACATTTTGGATCTTAAGTTTGAAAAAAATGTTTGTTTTGCTTCCCTCCACTTCATTGTTACACTTGTACAGGGTGGCCAAATAAGAATGCGAGGTACTGTATCTGGGAACCGTAGAGGCTTGCGGTAAAAAAATTTATTACTAAAACGGCCACGAGAAAAACCTGGAAAATATTTTTAAGTTTCTGAAATGGCCGCTAGGGGGCGGAACTGCAATCTGGAATCTAAAAAAGTGATTTTCTGTGAATTCCGCTATATTAACCTAACAAAAAAATATCCGGTCTTTGAAGACGACGATAATCTGAACCTTTTTTGTTTGACAATTTTTCCTGTATCTCTAAAAATGAAGTGGTGGGGGGTATTCAATGGTTTCCGTAAAGCACTCCCAATGCCAATGCCAATGCATTTAATTTTTTTAAGAAAATTAACCATTTTTGTCGGAATGTCGAAAAAAGCCCTCAAGCGGTGATATGTGAAACTAACAAAACTTCAAATATTATAATATTTGTAGCTGAAGAATAGCTCTTTTGAACTAACCCGAGTTTGTTTAAATCGGCTCAGCCGTTTCGAAGATACAGGGTGTTCTTTACGGAAACCTTTGAATACCCCCCACCACTTCATTTTTAGAGATACAAGAAAAATTGTCAAACAAAAATTGTTCAGATTATCGTCGACTTCAAAGACCGGGTATTTTTTTGTTAGGTTAATATAGCGGAATTCACAGAAACATCACTTTTTTAGATTCCAGATTGCAGTTAAGTCCCCTAGCGGTCATTTTAAAAACTTAAAAATATTTTCCAGGTTTTTCTCGTGGCCGTTTTAGTAATAAATTTTTTTACTGCAACCCTCTAGGATGGATAGATTCTCAGATACAGTACCTCGCATTCTTAGTTGGCCACCCTGTACATGAAACTGTAAAGTAATGGAAGCATTTTTTCCTTAATGTTTTGATGTCCAAAAATGCTAAAGAGCCTTCAGGGTTCTCAAAAGTCCCACTTCCCTTTTATGAACTATCTGTAGTAAAATTACCTCACCACTTGTATAAATACCTGTAATTGTTTAATTAATTTACGCAGACCCTCGAAATCTCGATCGCTCAAGTTTTTCATATTGGCAAAGTTGACCGAGGAATTCTTCTGGCAATTCGGGCAAACGTACTCGTCGATGCTATCAGCTTCCGACTGAAGTATGCCGACACAGCGACCGTGAAACCAGTCCTGGCAACTGTCGCAGCAAATGTAGAACCTACGAATTTGAAATGTTACTAATTTAAAATGTCGAGAGAGCGAGTCGTACTGGGATTCGTCGTAAGGCTGTCGGCACAAACAGAATATCTCTTGGGTGTCACGGGCGTGCCTGCATTCCGAACAAACGAATTCCGTCATCGTCTTGCTACTTTCTTCCGTAATGTCGACGCAATCGCCGTGAAACCAATTGTTGCACAGATCGCAACCGACGTAAAATCGAGTTTCGTCGTAGGGCGTTCGACATACGCAATAAATTTTTTCCTTCTTAATTTTGGGCGAGTTCAAGGTCGGCGTCTGTTGGCGCTGATTCCGTCGAGGTCTTCCCGCGCTCTTATTCGTGTTCGCACTGGGAGGCGTCAAGTTGCTAACGCTTGGAGGAGACGAGGGAGATACCTGAGCGGGTGGCAGCGTGGTTGTTGTGGATCTGCGCCTGTTTGTCGCACTACGCACCTCATCTTGTCTTGTACGTTCTAATCGTGTTTGTGCCGCTATTTCTTCTGCCACCTCCTTCTGTAAGAACAAGATTTGTTACACTTGTCTACATACATACATACAACACCGAAGTTTTCTTTATTTTCACAAACGCACAATATATTGGACAGTCAATACAACAAAAGATTAACAGCTTACTTACAAGTAGAGTTTTTTTGTTTGAAATCGCGTTCATTTTTGGTGGAATGTTTACAAAAGCTAGAAAATCCGCACGAGGGGCGAGTTATCTATTTCGGGGGCGAGAATCTATGTGTGTTATATGAGTTGCGATTTACCACTTTCCACATATTTTGTTGTAATATTAAATTTGCGTACAAGATCATATAATGAACCATCTTCCTCTAAACAGAAGGAATTTATTGCACCAAAGATGAGTCAAATCCCACCCTTTCTCAGAATATTGGTACCTGCTGATCTGACTCATTGTTCCCAAAACTTGCTTTTAATGTACATGTCACCTCTGGAAGCCAACAAGCACCTTCTGATAATCAAACGTGCTATCAATGAAAAGCATGATTGGCAAACCTGCAATTTTCCCCTAGAAAATTCGAGAGGACAGCAAACAAACAAGGTACGTTAAGCCGACGCAAATGTGTTTTCTTGTATTTATTAGGAAACGTCCACAGATACCTGAACGGTTCTGTTGACACCGTGCTTTATCATCTTGTATCTTAACCTTACTTCCGTATCGGCAAAAAATTGATATTGTTGTGCAAGAATTATTTGAAGATGATATAAACTGGAAGTGGCAGTTGAGAATAACGAAACATTGAACGTCCTAGAGAAACACAAAATGTTAGGTTATGATATTACGGCGAGGTAAAACTCCGCCAAATTTGTGTGTTGACTTCCACCAGATGTCACCATTCATCGGTCAGATAAATCAACGTCTCAACATATTCAACGGTTGCGTCGGCTGGACGTACCCAAGGTCAGCCAAATACACCCAACACCTTTTTCCATCCCAAAGAAGACATTTCAAGCGCGAAATTAAAATTTGACCACGTTGGGTTGGGGCAAGGATGGGGCCAACCAATAATTATGACGGTATATCACCGTTTCATTAACGACTACATCACTGAGTGTAAGCCCACTCTGACTTTGAGACCTGCGCAAGCGCCAAATTCAAGGTGATTCGCCCCTAAAGGTTATTGCTAATGAAATATATCAGAAGTGTCACTGATCTCTTCGGAGGGATACAAATTTGGTTAAACGAGAGGCAATAAGATTCTTGAAAATTTTCTTGACTTTGAGATATTTTGAAAAACTGAATTTTTCGATTGCACGATCTAATTTTTCCCGAGTTACTATTTGACCTATAGCAAAACCAATGACACTTTTCCTCCACAGCAACTTTTAATGCATTTTAAGGTGGCGTTGTAATTTTTTAATCTGACATTTCATCTTTACTGACTGATTTTGTTTGTGGTCGCAGAATAAATTTTGTTTTTGTAAAATCATGCAAGTCGTGTGTTTATTCGATCCATTTAATGATTCAGATGAATCTCTCATGCTCAATTCCGACATCTGATGCGCGCCCAAAGTTCATTTCAAGTGCTTTCAAAATTTGGTAAATGACCTTTTTTGGAGTCGAAGGAGTAGTAATTAATTACCCCTCCACTACATAAAACGCAAATGTTTAAGCGATCTTTTTCATACAACATAGCAAGTGTATATAACAATATTCCCGCGTATATAAAAAGAAAAGAAAAAGGCGCATTTAAACGAAATTATTTTCATTTACTTCTACGCGAGCAAAACAATTGATCATTTTTCTTCCCCTTTTCCTTTTCTTCTTCTTTATTTAGAATCATGACTGATTTATTTCTCTCTCTCCCCCTTTCAATATACATATTTTTTAGTTCATTCCACTAATTCTTTTATTTGCTCAGTTTAGGGTGAGGTTAAGTGGTAGAGCAGTTCTAGGGTCTCACCACAAAACTGAACTTCGCCCCATTAGATTACGGAACATTAATTTCATTTAATTTTAATTATTTAGTTTATTATCTATTTGAATGTTTATATATTTTTTTTCCTTCTGTATTTCCAGTAATCTAATAAATGTCACTTATTATTATTAGAATTGAATTGTTTTGTTGTGCTGGGGTGCGGATGTGTACTGAGAGAAATTTTATTAAGAAGAGGTGTTTTGTATGTAACCCGAAATTTAAGGGCCACAGCAATATTGTTATGTAAACTATGTAATGAGGATGTTTTTATTGTTATCAGCATCTGTAGTATAATGGGTCATCATGTATAAGTTAAATTTTAATTGTTTTTAACGATAAATTTGGATTGAGCATAAATTCGATCATATTATTTAAATTTAAAGTCACTACTGATAGGTATCGAAATTGTTAGATGCTTAATTTTGTTAATTATATTTTAATTGATTTATTGTTACATTACGTTACGAAAGATTAGGGACATCTGGAAATAATTGCAGGAAGCGTTTATTTTTTCAAAGTTTATCTCATTTAAATCCGGTTTTGCGATAAGACGTTCGTTTTCGTCCCGTAAAAGCTACTTAATTTCAAGATAAACAGGTGTTCGCCGTAAGTAAACACAGGTGTTAGTTTATTGAAGACCCGCAGGTACTGCTGGTGGGTTAAAAGGAATTTTACTTGTGAAAGTTGACAAAATGGAAGATGTGCCCACGATAAATTTTTCTATAGGCCGTTAAGGTTACTGTGTTTCTCGAATTCATAAAATTTAAGTCTTGATCGTTACGACATTTGAAATCGTATTTTAGCGTTCGTTTTTCCTCTTGAGAATAGTTTGTAATTGTGTCGTTTTCGTTTTATATTTTATCACTCTTGTAATTTATTCAATTTTTTTCTCGGGCGAAATTTAATTAAAATATCTTCGTTGTATCGGATGCCGACGTGCCTTGGGAAATTTATACCCAAAATTTGTATGTAAAAGGTTTTGTGAGCGCCTGAGTTTAAGTGAGTTAACTGGACAGGTTTTTATGTAGGAGGTTTAGGGCCCGTTTGCCATTGCACATAGGAATATATTGTTGTGTAAACACGTTATTTTAGTCTAAACACCAAAAATAATGACGGGGCATCCTGTATGTGAAATTATTTCAATTTATTAAGTAAATTTGGGGAATTATTTACGAAATAAACAAAGTTAGTTCATTTCACTTGAAATTGTATTTTAGCGTTTGTTTTTCCTCTTGAGAATTGTTTGTAATTGTGTCGTTTTAGTTTTAAATTTTATCGCTTTTGTAATTTATTCAATTTAAATAAGGTTTTAGAAGTAAGACACATCTGGTCGTTGCGATTAGTTTTTTCACCAGGCGAACTTTAATTACCGCAGGTGTTTCATATTGGAGTGAAGTGGAGACGCGTTCCTTCGAACCTGGTGTTATGAAGTCTAAGTGCCGGCCCCTGTGGCGCAGTTCAGTTCAAGCTGGACTGTGGTGCTAAGGGTCCCTGGTTCGAATCCGGGTTCGGGCATGGATATTTGTAAATGTATAGTGGATTGGGTTGGTAGAGCAGCTGAAACCCCGCCCACTCAAAAATAAACACAAACAAATATAATAAAATAAGTGTGATTGGCGGTTTATTTGAAAATTCATAAAGGAGATCATGGAAGTAGTGTTTCCTTAAATACTGGGGACGGGTGCTAAATGCCGTTAGTTTCGCAACGGTTTAAAAGACGTGTAAATTTGTTTACGCTAATTTCTCAGGCAGTCAGTCCGATTTGTTTTGTTGAAGACGCAGTTCGTCATTTTTATAATAATTTTGTGCAGAAGCAAAATAACCAAAGTGAAGTTCCGGAAGCGTCCAGCGTTCGTGTGCGAGTTGAGTGCGCCTTATATCGCAAATCTTGTACCGCCAGATTATTTGGATTATTAAGAAAAAACTGTAGGTAATTTTCAGATTTCTTATTTTACTTGTTGACCGCATGCGTGCGGAGTAATATGTTCAAACAAGCTTTGTGAGTCTTTATTTCTAAGTCTAAGTCTCTCGAATTATGAAATTTTATGTTAATATTAGGATTTTCTTCTAGGAGATACTGGATATGTATGAGGAGAGATTATAAAATTATAAGTTTCAATTTTGATTTGTTTTGAGCTAGCTGTTTTGTAGGTGGTGTACTGACGGCACACAGCAATATATTTGAATTGTAGCCAACTTACCTTCAATCTTGGAGTCTGTCCTGAATAACCTAACAGTTAGTCTGGAAGTCCCCTTCCTCAATTAAACCTTCAGTACACGACTGTTAATGGCAAGCGATAAAGTTACTTCAGTCCTTGCCCACAAGTGTTAGATTTTACCATAGCAACACATCTAGAGGTGAAAAAGACTACACCACCCTCACCTTATGAGCACAGGTCTCGTATTTTTGGTGGGCCAAAAGACAAACGATGAGAAAAGAGAGAAAGGAGAGTTCCAATTGTTTTGAAGTGGTCGATTCCACCATACCATTTTCCAATGACATAAGTAGTATAAATGCATTTGAGAACTTTGAAACACGCCATCTCTTGACAAAATATTTTGCACATTATTTTCAGCAAGCCACCTTCAAATACTCCTAGGCACCCCTGACGAGTCAAGATACTCACTCGACCTTTTACTGTATTTGCGGTTACAAAGAGTAGACTTACAGATTAAATGAACTTATCCTTCTATCTTACATACATACATACAATGATTCAAAATTTTATTCAAGACAACTAGACTGCTGCATTTAGTAAATTGGGATCTTATCCCACGCTTGAACTCGATCACTCACCTGTATTTCACACTGCAATTCTCTTTCCAATAGCGCCCTCTTTCGCAATATTTCCTTTTTGAGCGCCTCCTTCTGACGAAAGAGCGCAACCATAATTTTCGTTTTCATCGCGACACGTTTCTCGTCTTCCTGCGTGTCTTTTAGCTTAACTCGCGCGCGCGGCGATACCGGTTTATCTTTAACTATCTGATGAATACTAAAATGTATCCGATAATTAGTTTTAATGCGTCAACTGTCGTCGGTCACACTTACGGCGGTTCCTCTTTTTTAATTTCGTTACTCTTGGTAAACCGACTACGCTTGGGTGTCTCCATGACCCATTCGGTGTCGTCGTCCCTCGAGTTCGGCGGCCGTTTGCGCACGGGCATGCGGATCGTACTGATTATTGGAGGATTGCTAGGTCGTGGTAGCACGGGCGGTAACTCGGGCTCCTGCTTCATTTTGTTCTCTTGGTATCGTTGCAGCTGGAGTAATTTCTCCTCGATTTCCGGATTCAAATTCTCTTGTTTTAAAGCGGTTTTAATCGCTGCACGTAAAACATAAGTTTATGAGAAAAGAAAAATAATAAGGAAATAAAAGTGGAAAAGAAATAATAGTGATAGACCCAAAGCAAAACGACCAAACTAAATAACGAAAGTGTTGAGGGGGGCGACATACTAAGAAAAGTCTGTGATATTTGTTTGTAAACTTTTATTACATAAATTTGGAATACATGAAATCGATACACATCATTTGTAATACTTTTTACTTAGAGATTACGAACGAGTAGCAAATGTTTCCAAACACAAAAAGGTATTTAACGTTAATCAGTCGAAACATTGATTAAAAACGAATAAAAAACGCTTACACGAAGAAAATAAAAAAAGCAAAATATCACAGACTCAAACCAAAGTCTAAAGTAACGTTTAAAAACATTTGCACGTAGGAACATAAGTCTTTTCATCCTTAATACTATCTGTCTAGAGTATAAAAAATCAGCTATATTCGACTACTGAAATTGTCGTTTTGCAATGGGTATTATACAGTTAGGATTCGACACTATAACTGAAGGATGATATTGAAACATACTTTGCTGAATGTAATCGGGCGTAACAACAAATTGCTTATTGGCCTCGCTCGTCGAAAGCGGCGGTTGAATTACGGCAGTCAGTTGATTCGTCTCCATATTCGCCTTCATCGCTTGAAGTAAGGCGGACGATTGTTGCCCGTTAACTAGTACTTGACGAATTGCGCTAGTCGAATTGCCGTTGGCCACCTGCAAATGTTGACAGTGTCTGATTTTTTTTTTAGAGAAAAGATCTAAACAAGTGACTCCATCTACTGACGCGTTTTAGTATTAGTGAAGTACAGATCTCAACAGCGCTGTGTCGCAAAGAGACCTTAAAAGTAAAGTCACTAAATATAGAAAGTACCGCAATCCATTGGGCTCGTGTGTTAGAGAGAGAACGCACGATTTTTGCCCAAAAATGGCGGAAGTTACCAGATTCTAGTAACCTTAATGTTAGGGATTGTTCCACCTGTTTGGAGATATCTGTATATATTTTTATAAAACATGACAGTACTATGAAGTTAGGTTATAAAAAATGACAGCTATTCAGATTTTATTTGTCAATTTTTTTAAGTTGGCAGCAAATTTGGCCAAAAATGGCGGATGATTGCGGTACTTTCTATATCTAGTGACATTACTTAAAAGTAATGTAGCGCGCTATTTGTTAAATTAAAATAAAACCAGACGCAAAATCCTGTAGAAATCTATAACTCCATCACTAGTGTCCACAAAATGAAGGCCGATTGTACCATGATAGTTAACTTCAATTCAGTAGCCTGAAGTTGAACTCTGGTATAACCAAACCCAGTGGCGGATTTACATATAAGCACAACTTTAGAGGGCGGCATTTTTTGCACTATATTTATTTTAGGTAACATTTTAAGTTTTAAGTTCCCTAACAAGTTACAAAAATCTTTAATTAAAATTATGAAATAAATTGAAATTGGTATAGTTTAAACAAACTGTAAGAACGATAATCGACAATGCAAGTTTTGACGTGTGTGAAAACTTAATCTTAGGTATACTGTATTTCTTTTCATATTAGTTTTAAAAATTTCAAGTTATAATTTGATTTTTAATAGCATCTTAAAATTTATTGCAATTTAAAGATTATTTTGGGGCGCAAATCTTTCGGTGTGCCTAGGGGCGCAAAAACTTTAAATCCGCCACTGACCAAACCCAAAGTTTACAACATACCTGTTGAAGTACAGTCGTCGGCTGCAATGTGTTTGGCGATGGCTGAATGGATTTCTCAAAGTTGGCCTGGACAGGATTCGTCTGTATTTTAATTTCTTGAATTGGCTGTTGAGGTTGCGCCGTAACTTGCTGTACCGGCGCCAAGGGGGGAGGCTGAGAATTCGGCGATCCTACGGTTTCGGCGCCGGTTGGTTGTACCGCCAAATATATTTTTGTAGGCCCCAGGACACCCTGTTTACCGGTCGAAGCTTGAGCTGCAAATGAAACATTATGCCTTAAATGCACCGCTGTATTATTTGTTGGCATTGTGAACACGCTACTAGATTTTATTTATGTTGCATTCATTACAAGAAGGTAGTAGATGGCGCTATGTTTGTAGATAAACACACAGTAAAAATATAAAACGGCACCAAATTATTGTGAAGTAGTTTAGTGGTGCCAAGGTAAATTTAAGAAAATGGGGGGGGGGGGGCGACTCTTTTTCGAGATCAGTGAGCGATGGGGCCTGAGGGTAGGGGGGGGGGGGTTAAAAATTAATTTTATCTCTCATTGTATCCTACTTAACGATCTCAACGAAAGGAACAGTTTTCTATCAACTACTGCCCTTCTTTCGGTCCTCTTATCAAAGTACGGGGTGGAGGGGGAGGGGGTGGAGCGGTACTAGTTTTATTCTTCATGGTACTCTAATGAAAGGTCTCATCATGATTGGGTATATTCCCTTATACCTCAAGAACGGATTGTCGGAAAAGGGTACTCACAAAGGGCGATTGAGACGTATGCAAGAAATATATTCATTGGTGAAGTCAAAACAAAAGCTATTTCGGTTAAAAAAAAATGCGCTTTATCTGCACAAGAGTTGTGCACAATTTATACTTGTTTTCTTTGTTTTTAGACATTACTAGCCATTAGAGGCAGTTCAATGTGCCCTTTGAGTCACTACATTTTATCGTTGCAAAACTAATAATTAAGGGAACATCTCATTGTTTTGAATCAGATTAATGAACAACATAATTTGTGATGACAATGATTAATACACAGGGTGGTTCAGACCACCCGTCCATCCGTTATCTCAGGGACTTAAACATTTTTAACAAATACCCAGAGATCTTACTAATATTGTTGTTCTCTATCAAATGACCCTGAAAATTTACCCCCCGGCAGCAACTTTGTAATTTCAAACGGGAACCTACATTTTTTATGCCATAATTCGATTCTACTCAAAAAATTGTGAAGATTTTATTCTCAACATTTTATGTTGTGGTAACAGGTGGCGCTGTAATCACTTGGCAGTAAAGTTGTACCCTTTATAAATGCTTAAAGTAACAATTTTTTTTAACTCCAATATTATTTTTGGCATGAGCTGAGATAGGTTTTTTTTCTATCATGTTTATTAGTTGTTTTAACATTTAAAATTAGTTTCTGCGATTACAACGCCACCTGTTATCACGACAAACTTTACTTGAAGCATCTGTGGTTAAAAATTTAAACTATAAAAAAAGTTGACATGCGCACATTAATCGTAAAGGTTTTTCTTGGTTAAGGTGCCAACAATATTAGTACAACTCCTGACCCAGAACAAAAAACTTAGAAGGGAAACGTAAACAGGAACAACTGAGTACAATAGTATAAGTATGGAGAACGGTAAGGGATTTTTACCGTTCGAAGACAATTGTTTGGAGGAGGAGCGAAGCGACGACTCCAATTATTGTCTGAGAACGGTAACCCTTAACGTTCGACGTGCTTATAACATTTTTTGCGCGATCGAAATTAAAATTATCCAACCAATATAAATATGCACTAAGAAATTAACGAGCAGAATAAATCGAAATAATCGAAGTGGTATGGTGTACATCACTAGACTAGGTAACCAGTTTAAATGTCAAAATTGAAATTAATAATTTCATAAAAATGTGCATGTGTCTGATGTAGTTTACTAGCTTTGCACTTCCTTTATGACTTTATGAGCGTCTTGCTATAGGAAACAACAGCACAAATTGTACGTTTAATGTACCTAACAATAATTAAAGATTAAATGTAATGTAAGACTGTTGATTTTTAAAAAGGCGTCGGTAAGTATTTTTGCTGTTCTGTTTTTAGATCGGTAAGTAATTTTGGCGTCGTCGTAATCATAGCAACTGGTAAATTCTACGTACTGTCATGGAAACACCCATGGTAAATAGTCAGAAATGACCGATCGCGCAAAAATATAATTAGTTTGAAGAACATTCAATAGATGGCGCATAGTTAGCGTGCGTGTTAAAGTTACTAAATCTAGTGAGTTTAGTACGTGTCGCCATTATGAATTTTGAATTTTGATTGACGGCTTATTGTGCTTTAAGTATAATTACTATTCATTATTACAATGAATTATGCATATACAAATCGAAAACGTAAATGTTGTGTGACAAATTGTGAAGACGTTTCCCAAAAATGGAGCCCGAAGTTTTTATAGAATTGGTTTAGAATATAATGTGGAAGAAATTTACACAAAAGTTTTTGGTTTGTGAACGTCATTTTTCTGGTTGCGCTTTAGAACCTGGAACACGAAGAGGTTTAAAGCGTGTGGCAGTTCGCACATTATCTTTAGCAGGTAACACTAATTGAATTGTAATAAATTGCTACATATTTTGTTTTTAGAACGATCTTGAGAGAAACATAAAGTAGAGTTCCATGAAGTTGATCTTGTATCTTGTATATCCATATTAAATTAAATATAACTCCTTGATTGGATTAATTGGAGTTCTTACTTATAAAACAAGTGGTCTGTACTCTTTGAAGCCCCTGACTGGTGAGGTGCATCGGCATTAAAATGAATTTATCTGGATCCCTAACAAATAAAATTGGACTTCACTGGCTGGATTCATTTACCTTTTAGGTTTCAGCTAGTCAAATCCAATGTTATTGTTACAGATCCGGAGAAATGCAGTATAATGCGGACGTAGCTTACATTTTAATATTTAAATTTGGCGCCATTCACGCAAAAGCTGCTGAGAACATACACGAGATGGCGCGTTATTTTTACATTACATTAGAGTTTCCATTCTAAGTTTGTTGTTCTATGACTCTTGGGCTATTTTTTAAAAATATTCGTTAGAAAACGGGTGGACAGATGGTTTGAACCACCTTGTATGTTAAAATCCACCAACTGCTCTGTAGCTCAAAACTTCATATTTGGATTACACGCATCTGTACCTCGTAAATGAACATGACATTGTGCATTTCAAAAATTTTCCATTTTCCCGATATAAGAAGGTTTTATGGAAAAGGTGAAAGTTCGCAAATTTTCTCAGAATGGCACAAAAATTACATCCCATAGTAAATTCAGTGCACAGAATGGCCACAGATTCGTTCTCGGGTTCTTCCTCAAAAAAGTCAAAGTTGGGCTTCACGGCTTCCTATAATTAACAGGCTAAATTGTATGAAATTTGACAACACTGTTTTGTTGGTCTATCATTTTATGTCAGTGTCACTTTACCACTTTTGAAAATGGCAAAAATAAACATCATTGGTTTCTTAATAATTCAGTAACACAACAGTCGAGATGGTAGGCGAACTGTTTGGTATTGATGCGGCGTTGCCAGCTCTTACAGCGGAGCCTGGTAATTATAGGAAGCCGTGACATAATCCCCTTCTGAACGCCCTAGCTTCCTAATTAGTTGAGATAACGCTCGAGTTGCCTTTGGAGGTTCAAGTTAAGTACGATTTCCCATGTAAACAAAAATTCTAAAGGTGACTCGACAGCAAGGGGACAGGGGAGGGGTGTGTAACGCCAGACTCGACCCTGCATATGAACGGATGACCACCATGATCAATCGGCTGTGTCATCGGGTCAGACCGTCCACTGGGAAAGCATTGTGGGATGGTGGCAGCAGACTGACTAGCTGAGGGTAGGCTGTTCTCGAATGACCTACTCCCGAGCGAAATCAGGCCTAGTTTCCGCTACCCTTTCGAACCTAATAACGCTGGCGTCTAGATAGACGTCCACTTGTTGGGCTCTGTGATAGGTGGAGAGGCAGAGGGACGAATTTACACTCTTCTGACATGGAGACTGATCAAAACAATAAACCAGAGGGAGTGTCCCAGGATATCCCTCAAACGACCAAAGTCACCGAGCCTCAACAACACACAAAACCACGCAAGCGCATTTACATCACTGAGCAGAAGAGGAGAAAGTAGCGCAGGCTGATCCAAATGGGTCAAACTGCTCCAACAGTCACCTTCAAACCAACCAACTCCCGTGACCCAACCCAGAAAATCCTTACACATTCCACAAAAAAACGTCGTTAATTTTACTTATATTCGTAGTGTTTGCATATTATAAAGTTTCATTTAAATCTTCATAAATAAAAAAGTTAGGATCGCACATGAGTTAAACCAAATTTTTGACACTGCGCATGCGTAAAACCAAAAAAATATGGGTATGCACGGAATCCTTGGACCAAGCTCTTTCAAATGAGTCCTATATCGCCAAAGTCGATTCAGTGGTTTAGAAGGAGTACGTGTGACGGACAGACGGACGTCAAAATGCAGCGATTTTTCACTTTGAGGAAAATACGCTAACAAGTCATACCGCAAACGAGTACTTCCAAAAAAAACCTAAATTTCATCCTCACTATTCCTTCAGCAAATTGACAACCAAATCCTCGATTTCACTTCCCACATACTCGGATCACAACCATAGATGCAATAGTACGCTAATTTAAAATTTCAGATAAAGGCTCTGGCACTGACCTTCCAACAGCAGCTACCACATCAAAAACACTTCAGCACTCTACACCGACTACCTCCCTACCCCACTTACACGCCTCCAGAACCCCAGGAGGAGAAACTCCCCAGTCCCGTTTTTGATATACTACACATATTCCTGAACACAAAAAGGGGCAGAATCGCGCATGCGCAGGTGGTATCTGTGCTACCCACAGCAAATTTGTTATTCTTTGTATGTAATAAATTCCTTTAATGCAAATTCCTAGCTGAGAGGACACGAGTCCTGAACACCTACCATCTTGTATATGTTATCAATTAATTGTCAACTCCCCCCCCCTTCCCCCAAATACACGTTTTTTAATTTTTATTTTTGGTCACTAATGAGACCTTAACAATAGAACTGATTTTTACAACTTACACAATCTTTCAATTCTTCTTGATGGACAAATGCAACTGATAGTAGTTAGAACATTCGCCCGTAGAATAAGGACCAATCATGTTGCTCTGGGAAGTAGAGGAAACAATTCCAAAGAAACTCGAAGTCACAGTGTTAAAAAATAAAATATTGTAAAGTCGACAATTGCGCCTAATCCATTACATACTCTACTCTCTACTCCAAGAACGCTGCAATTACATAACCGCCATAGCGAGTTGTATAGGGAGGTATACGTGAGCAAATTACTATCTACTTTTGTATTCAAATGCAAACGATTGTGACCTTACCCTTGTAACTCTCATCTTACCTTTAAGCAGCTGCTGCTTCACTTGATGTTGCACCGCTGACAACTGTTGGGGGGTGAAATCCGCGCCCTGCAAACCTTGCAAAACAATTCGAGGTCCTTGTTGCGTTTGAATTACTTGCGCCGTAACGCACTTGATCACAGTACCGGGCGGTTGCCCGATGAGTAACTGCTCCATCGTAGCTTGGTCAACTTGATTAGCATTATCCTGGACTATCTTCGTCGTGGTCATTTGCTCCTGAGCGACCGGCTGCGATACCTGCTGTATGACCTGTCGATTCGGCGTGCCGGTTTGGACTTGCGGCACCTGGGCGGTGTGAGCGATATTGCCGGGGGTTATTTGGGCGACAACTTGCGCCTGTCCGTTGCCCGTTGGACGGATTAGCACTTGTTGTCCGTTAACCGACGCCACTTGGAGCTTTCCCGTCGCCAACTGTTGCGCGAGCGTCGGGTTGTTTACGATTATTTGATTGGTAACAATCTAAATCGAATGATATTATCGAGGGGTGGAAACGTGAAGGTGTCATACCTGTTGTTGGCCGGATGTGGTTATCACCTGCTGCCCGCCGACAACAACTTGGTGCTGTAAGACTTGACCGCCGCTTACCACCACCGAGTTTGGGGTCGCCGCTTTTTGTACCAGAGGTGCACCCTGTTGTTTGACGATGATCTGTTGCGTTTTCGTCGGACTTTGAGGTTGGATTTGTTGTACCGTCTTCAACTGACCGCTCTGCAGGACCAATTTGCCTGTTGGATTATTAGCCGTTTTAATAATAGCTTTGGTAGACGTCACCGGCGGAGTTTTTGGCGCGGTTGTTGCCGGATGTATTTGTGTCGTGGTGAGCACTTGCAATTTTCCATCCGGCATTTGTACTATTTGTTGACCTGGCATTAGGCCTTTGACCGTTAGTCGCCCGTCCGGTGATCGCATTATTTGAACGCGTTGCGGTGTTTCCGCCGCGGTTTTTAGTGTTGTAGTTGTTGTCGAGGTTGGTACAGTTGTTACTATGGTACAATTAAAAAAAAATTCAATATATCTACAGGTGTCTTTCACAAGATTTAAGATAGGGAGAAATCAACATACCTGGCTGTTGGACTTGTATCTGTTGAACAGTTGGAACCGTCGATGTCTGCACTTTAATTAGCGATTGCGAATTCGGAGGGGTTTTCGGCAGAATGTTCGCAGCTCCCGCGATCACTCTCGTCGTTCCATCCGCCGCTTTGGTCATAAAGATGCGACGTCCCGTGAACTTGTTGTTGCCGGTCGGCGTCGTATTAGCGGTCAGTAAGGATGTCAAAGTCGATTTCGTCGAGAGATTGGCGCCCGGCATTACGACATTCTTCACAATCTTCATTTGACCATCTGCAGTTGTAACTGGAAATATCGAACTTTAGTATGGCAACATAGCGTGACGTTTGATCATCGACTAATCACTCCAAAACGTACCTTTCGGTTGAATTGGAGTAGGAATTGTAGTTTTAGTAGAAGCGGAAGAAGTGTTAGTACTAGCAGTAGTGGTAGAGGCAGCTTTTAACAGTTAAGAACGATTATTTCTGATTACGAGGGAAGTGTGCCGAGAACTAACCTTGCGCCGTGTTGCCCACCATTTTAATGATCTGGCCTTGCGGACTTTTCAATTCCAAAGCCCTCTTTTGTTGATGAGCGGCTCGCTGCAATCGCAACTGCTGTTCCATTTTTTCTTTAATCTCTTCGGGCGTCGCCTTGCTGGTAACCGACACTTTGGTAGGTGTGGTTTCCGCGGGAACCTCGGTCACTGCACGTGCTGGGGGTAGATTCCCGGTACGACTCCTAGTGATAACTTGGACATTAGCCTTCTCTATCCTGTAGGTACACACAAACGCAAGCAGTTAGTGAACAACATGCACAAATGTGAGATCAACGAACATTTAGATCTATCCCTCAATTTAACACTACAAACTAAAGCCGCCGACCGTGATACTATCGAATTCTTCTAGCGTCAAAAACTAATTCTACAGAAGTTAATGTCGGGTTATGTTTGTCGACAACTATAGGAAATTAAAGCCGAAATTTACATAAGCCCAATAAAGCATCGTTCGAAACGTGCCATCTTACTTTTCTCCATACTGCTTAATTTCCCACAGTTCCAATTTGTCTTCGTCGACCCACTCTTCGGTCACTTGGGGATCCGTACATTGCGGCGATTCGGGACGTTTACGCTTGCGCAATCCGCTACGAATTGACGTTACCTCTGAAAACACGATTATGAGAATGAATTAATGGAAATTGCAACGCCATAGTTATGTCCCGGTAACTAGCAGAGCAGAAATTGACGTAGTGAATAATTAGGGTCCCAACTAATAATTTTTTGTTCCTCGTCAAAGTTGCAAAACGCAAAATAGAGCAACCATCCGTTTCAGTAAAATCAGTACACACAAAAATCTACTTGTGCGCATGCGCGCTCAAAGCTTTTGACAGGTTTAATATACTCCATCGATTTGCGTTTATTAACAGGTGATTCTGTTTAAATTTGAGAAAGAACAGTCCACCAATTCTTAGAAAGCGTTTCTCGGTCTGAAAATTTATGGGTGTCGTCTCTTACCAGTAGCATCCCATTTTTAATGACAGTTGTCATTGGAATGTACAATGGCCCATATGAATAAAAGTAAGCAAATGCTTATACTTGCAAAATTCAAAGTAAATACTCGTAAGTGCTCCTTCCCACTGGGCGACTTAGCAGCGCTTCTAAGCAGAAGGACAGGACGCAGTGCAGCGCTGCTAAACCATGCTAAACAGACCAGTATGAAGGGGCAGTTACGAGTATTTACTTGAAGTATAAGCATTTGCTTACTTTTATTCATAGGGACCAATGATTTGTTTCACTTTATCTACTCTTGCTGTTAAAGAGACTTTAGCCTACTTATACCTATCTGCTATAAAATACAGAAAATTAATTTATCAAGCACTAACGAAGGTTTCATAACAAGGGGTATTACTGGACTGCCGAGTTTTGAGATTTGATTCCAACTATTTGGATAAGTATAATTAACCGTAACTAGTTGAATGGATTACAAATAACAGGCTCCCATTGATTCGAGATTATATCTGTTAGATGCGCCCTTAAAAAACTTTAATTTTGACACTGGCCCCGTATTTTTTAGGCGTCTGGGAAGGAAGTTTTCATTTTCGAGCGTGATCACAAGGATATGCCGTCGAACAGGTAAAACTCACTTTGCTCCATGAAATAGCCAAATTTCATAAGGAGTAAACCTGTTTTTTTAGTGGGAATACTTTTGTCTATTTTGTTTAACCGTATTTAAATCTTTTTGCAACTTATTTGTAAGTACCATAGTTCTCACACTTTCTGTACATTTATTTTGGCAACCATACCGTATTTAAATTTTGCTTTTACATTAAGTTTACCGCATTGTATTCATAGCTTTTGCTTTTTCTTGCACAGTAATTTCTACTGCTCCATTTCATTGCAAGGGAAGCTTTTTGTTACTTTCCGTTTCATTAATTATAAGGAGGGGGGATAATGTTTCGCGCTCCTGCATTTGATTTCCCGTAGATATCGGTACCGAATCCCATTTATGTACTACCTATTCCCTCGTAAGCACTTTAATTTTGTTTTAGCATTCACCAGTAGCCCGTCGCCGCTTGCTTTTTAGAATTCCTGGAGCTACTGTTTACTCCAATTGAGTTTGCCCGAGGCTTGACCAGAGGCAAAGTCGTATCCTTGGTGACGCTCGAGTCCGCTCGTCCGTCCGTTCGACCGACTGAACACCCAGGTTTCCACCGACTGCAGCTACTTTCGTCCGCTCACATGATTTACCGACTATAATTTGTAAATTTATTTTTATTGTAAATTAAATTATAATCATTATTTCGCTTTTCCCGCTCTTGAGCGTTTTTTTTCGCTCATGTGCGCTTTTTCCGCTCGCGAGCGCTTTATCCGCTCTTGAGCGATTTTTTTCGCTCGTGGGCGCTTTTAACCACCCTCGAGCGCCGAGGGATCAAACGCCATTCGCGATCTTTCGAACCGCTGCGTTTCGAGCCAGGTCCTTCATAGCTGGGAAGAGGTGGAAGTTTTATTTTTCGACGACAACTCCCGCCCGCACACAGTCAACCGTACAGCTCTTGGATGATTTGGGGTATTAAATGCTTCTTGGTTAGAAATCGGCATTTTAGAAAACATTACAAATTCAAAAAACTGAATGTAAACACAGTAGAATAATTTACAAATTACCGCTGTTATTATTTTATAATGCATCGTGTTTCATTTGTTTAATTTTCCAAGGCCTACCTAAAAGTGTAGGGTCCTTTTCCAAACAATCTTTCGCGCCATCGACAAAAACCGGAAATACGTCAAATAAGATTCAATTTAAACATTTATATTAATTAATTAATCTCATTTTCCCAATATTTGAGGTTAGGAACGATATTTTGAAAAACGGTTTTGACTGGCCTCTTTGGGTGTTATTTGGCAACATTTTCATAAACAAAAAGTCATACCATTCCATTTGATTTTGGACCATAGTGTCAAAACTAGCCCCCTGGCGGAGAAGGATTCAACTAAATTAACTATATTTTGGTTGATTCATTTGATTTGGTCATTCGGCCCATGCGGGCAAAGTGTTTGCTGTACAACGTAAATGCATTAGAATCCTTGATGGACTCAAATATAGAGAGTGTTGCAAGGCAAGCTTAGGATCCTTACTTTACCATGCCTATATATTCTGAACTGTTTAATACAGGCGAAAAAAGAATCTTCATTCTATTGGAAAACAGGTGACAAGTTCCACTACAACATTAGATCCAAAAGAAACTTGGTTATGGACAGTCAAAGGAAGAGACGTCCACTATTATATCAAAACATGCTACAATATGCTACCCAATACATTGAGAGATCTGGAAGAGAGGGAGTTCAGTGCCAAGATGAAAAGTATATTGATCAGCAACGCATTCTACAGTATTGAAGACTTCTGCAAGTTTAATTTTAACAATGTAGTATGAACTATATTTGCATTTTCTATCTTACTTTGACGTGTGGAAGAACATGCATATGTCTATATACACCACCAATAAATATATTATTATATTATTATTATTCTTTTTGCCCAATGAATGCTCTTTTCAACGATACCAAATTTGTTACAATCGGTCAAACGGTTAAGAAGTTAAAGCAGGTTATTGCAAAAACAATTGAACGCCCCACGCCATCTTTGTTTTTGAAATAACTGAGTTTTTGTTTTTACGAAAATGATAGATAAACTGGTTCTCTTTCATAATGTGAACAAATGTTTTTTAGTTTGTTATGCGAAATTTAAAGAAAATGCAATTTTAAAATTCAAGATGGCAGTTACGCCCTCTGTTGGTCATTTTTAGAACTTGAAAATATTTTCCAGCGATTCTTCATGACCGATTTACACAATAATTTTTTTTACTCCTAAGTCAGATGACGAACGGTTCTCGAGATATGGCTGAGGAACAGTCTTATTGGGTCACCTGGTACAAGAAATTCGAGCATACTAATAAAAAAAATTTATTGTTTACCATGAACGAGTGAGATCCGCTGACACGTCGGAATTTCTGTATTCGGCGCCTTTTCGTACGTAAAACTTCCGACTTGTCAGCGAAAACTCACTTCACGTCTTGGTCAGCAATATACTATTGTTTGCCCCGGAAGTCAAGTCTCTAAGAATATGTCCACTCCTTTGAAGTTTATTACGATTGCCACTATCCTATTGTGCATAAATGCCAAATGTGATACTTTTTCATGACTCCTGAATATTTATGTTGTTTGAATACTATTATGTGATGGGTCTCGAAACCCTACTTTGTATGCAAACATACCCCTGTATTACATTATAAGACAAAAACCAAAGGCGGGCACCTGAACTCTTACCCATGTACAAAAATGATATACGTCTTTCATATAAAACGTCAATTGATCAATTTTAGACATATGCTGCAACACTGCAACATGTACAAAAAAAAACAAGTGTGCGAAATCTATAGAAAACTTGTCTGAAATTGATTCATAAATCAATGACGTGCACCGGTTTTTATAGCGAAAGACGTATACATTATGTGTATCCTTTGTACTGTAAGCCATTGGTGTAAATATTGGGCTCCGTTACATAACAATCTTAGTATATAATTACATGTTCCTGAAACATTGTGACACAATATTTTAAATTTCGGTGTAAAGTCGCGATTAAGAGAGAAATAACAGGTACAGGTTGAAAACTATGCAATTGTAACATGCAAATTGGAAAAGCAATCAATAAAGACCCTAGAGCTACTTTCGGTTATAAGGGGACAACTCTTGTTTGTACTTTGAATTTAAGAAGGTTTTAACGTTTTAATTAAATCTCACACACCCCATTTCTTGTTTTATGTACGTTGGTTGATCCCTAGATCGATACACACCTATCAATAGACCTGTTTGTTACTTGACGATCATGTGCCATGCGTTTCAGTAAGTTTTGATTTTTGGTTTTGAATTGAGCAGACCTTGGTCCATTACAAATTTATTATTAAAATTTGATAAACGAATTCTTTGCTCAGCACTACCTGTCACCGCTCTGCTAGCTATATGTTTACATTTGAACAAAAAAAGGTTACGTCTTACCTCTAACCGTTTTCGGCAGCTCGAGTGGAATAACAACCTTCCGTCGTAAATATTGAGTCCTCTCCAAGAATTGCCCGACGTACCTATGCTTCAAAAGTTCAAGCGATAGAATCTCCGTCTCGGTCGTAATATGATTCTTGCCGTCCGTGTTAGGCGGTTTAGCTTGCATATCGTCCCACCTCATGCAGGCCCAGAGAATGCGCAGTAGAAGCGCGACCGACGAGGTGTTCTTCAAGTTCACCGTACGATACAACCAGCACGTTTTAAACAGGGGGCGCGCGCACGGATACGGCCACGCGAAGTTATTCGGCTTGGCCAAGTGATGAAAGCCGCTAACCATCACCTTTCCGCCGCTCCTCGCGAGTCTCTGCACCTCGTGCTTCGGCAGAACGAGCAGAGACCGAGATCCGCTATTCGTTTGGAACGTCGAGCAGAGCGGATACTTGACGGTTTGGCGCTTCTTGCGTTTCTCCACTACGGTCGTCGACGGTAGCTTCTTCAGGTAGACCTTTCCTTCGGTCGAGATGGTCGTATAGATACGTTCGGTTCCGTCTTCGGCGCGTTCGGCTTTAACAACTTTCTCCTCTTTGCGCATCATCGTTTTGTACGTGCAAAACCTTCGGTTCGGTTGAGGGACGTACGATGACGACCTCGCGTTGAGCGTTTGAATTGTGCGCCCCACGTCAAGTTCGGTTCTCTTGACTATCCCGTCGACTACTGCGGCTTTCGTTGCTTCAGTTTTAACGACAGACGGTCGCACGCCCGACGATGAAGATCCGATTATCATTTCGTTTATAGCGTCAGGAGTCATGCCTTCCATGTCGACATCATCGCTATCACTGTACAATTTCGTCTTGTCGAATACTTCCGGTGGTGGGTCGACCTCCATCTTAACCGGCGACTGTTTTTCGATTTTAATCGGCGGTGGGGGTACAAAGATCTTTTTAACGTAAGCGGTGATGGTTTCATCTTTGCAATGAGGCGTTGACTTAAGAGAGACCATTAGCTCCTTACAAACTTGCGTTTCGTTAACCGGTTCTGTTTGTTTGACGGTAGGGGGCGCGCTCAATTTCTGCTCCAAAATTGACTTTTTAGCGGGAATGCCTAGAATGTTGGGCAGTTTTAAAGACGAATGGACATTTGTGTGAAAATTCGCTCTCTTTAGCAGTGCTAGCAACTCCTTGCGGACTTTGTTGCGTTGCAAACACAACGGGGAGTAACAATTACAGAGGAGAGTAGACGAATTTGTATTACAACCCTTGGAGTAGCACTGATAATCTTTGCCGAATTTCGATACCGAAGTGTAGTGCAAGCGTAACGCTTGAATTTTCTTCGCGATAGTATTCAGCATTTCCTTGTTGACTTGGCTCTGCTGCTGATGAGGTGGTAACACCACTTTCCCGCTCATCATATTATTCAATTGCTTTTCGAGGTTACTTTCGGCATCGGTATCCGCATCGTCGCTATCGACATCGATAACCTCATCCTCGTTGTGAGGCTCTTCGGTCTTTATCAGTTGCGCAATCTTACGTTCCTCCAACGTTTTCAGTTGCAGACGCCTCGCAAGCAAATCGTCTAACACCGACTTGTGGGCGACTTTCGGAAATAGCAGCCGACCGTTAATAGTCAACGCCTTCGATACGTCCAACTCCTCTATGTCGTCAATAGGTGGCACCACCCTCAAGTTTTGTAAGACACTTGGTACGGGACAGTCGCCGCCGCCTCCCATTTCCACCTCCTCCTTCACGTCGACGTCTTTGGGAAATTTTTCTAGTAAATACGCGTGAGCGTTCGAATTTAATTTCAAAATTTTTAATCCGTTACTATCTCGAATTTGTACCATATAAGCGCTAGGTCCCGCGGCTAGTCCTTTTGTAAGGCAACTTTCAGTCTTTAAGTTTCTAACAGACGACAGCCACAACCAGCCCCATCTGCCGTGAATTCGATACTCCTCCCCTTTTTGCTTCCACAACTGATGCTTAAATCCCATCGTGTACTTCACGTAACCCGTCACCATCATGCGATTGCGCTCCTCCTCCTCGTCGCGCTCCTTTTTCTCGCGCTTCTCGATCTTTTTCCGCTCCTCCCGTTCGATTGCTGTGGTCCGCGACAGTTTCGTGTGGCCCAACTGCTCGTGCCATACGTTGGCGAAGATTACCGGCTTCATGCAGGTTTGTAGGACGATTATGGCTCGTGCGAAATCTTTGGGTTTCTGGCAGGAAGCCATGGCCACGAGCCAGTGCTTTCGTATTAGATTCCAATTTGGATGCATGAAAGGTGTTTGTATCGTTTGCTCCAGTTGCAGTATCGTTTGTCGTAAGGTGTTAAGGAGCAGAGTACGACTGCCATTTACCGCGCCGATCCATTTGAATTCGGATGCAGTCGTCAACGAAAATTTGTGGGATAAATGTCGCCGTTTATCTCGCTCTTCGTTCCTCTGCGGCTTATTTAAAGCTATAGGATTGGTGGTGTATTGATTTACATACGATTTACATTGATTATCCATGCCTAACTTATATAAGTACGTTCCATTAGCTATTTGACTAGATTTCAAGCGCGTCATTCGCGACGTCTCCAACTCCTTTTTATCTAAATCATCCCGATTTAACACCGATAAGGTTTTGCGGCGCAAATTATCGATGGTAACCTTTTGTACGATTGAAGAAATCTTGAGTTTATTCTCCTTCTCTTTCTTCTGATCCCCATCTTCATCTTCGTCCATCTTGACCTCTTCGTCTTGAGTATTGGATCCAGAATTCACGTCACCTTCCGATGTTGTGATACTGACCGTACTATCAATTTCCAAATTATTTGCGATAACATCCGTTTCCAGGGTGGGATCTTCGTGCATTTTCGCCACCATGTCTTCTGCAGCTTGCCTCTCCTTCTCTTTCCTTTCTTCCTCGAGCTTTTCTTCTTGTTCCTTTTTCACCTGAAGAATCCTCGCTATGGACAAAGGATACCATTAGCAAATCATTTAAGAAAGCGATCAGACTTCTAAAATAATAAGAAAATGGTTTACCATTCTCGACCTCCAGATATGATTTCTTATTTCCCTTGAATTGATTCGTTAATTTTTCCGTTAGATCCATCTGACGCAAAATTTCATCTTTGTAGTCGTTTAATTCGTGACATAAGCTTGCCTCCATTTCATTAGGATCTAACGAGTTCAATAACTCATCTAACTGTGTAGATGTAGTGTAGTACCATATTTCACCATCCTCACTTTCCCTGTAATTTGTTTACTATTATTACACTACTTTCCAACTATACAATGTATTACATTTGTTTGTTTTTAATTAATAAATAACACAAAGGTTCATTTGGGAGACAACCCTGAAAACCTTTCATTTGTAAGTACCTTCTTCCGACACGCTCATTTGCAGATACTCACACTTAATAAGCTTTGACGGATGGCGCTAGTTAACTTCTATCATTTTCCCGTTGTAAGGACCCTCGTCCTACACTAAGTTTTCGAAATACTCACATTTAAAGTTCCTGACCCCCCATCCCTTACATATGTGACATAAGCGATTCGTTTGCTTTTATTAGAAAGAGAGGGATTAAAATTTCACCACCAATAAGAAAGTCAGTTTTCCATATGCGCGCAACCCACCCGACTTTTGACATGTTTGTTGTACTTTTAATAGAAGTCACTGCTCAAATTTCCAAAAATCTCTCCGCAAATAAGAGTTGATTCAGTAAATTTTTCTTTATTTTTTTTGGTTTTCTCGAAAAGTGAGTTTTTAATGAGAAATTTTTTTGGTGTAAATACTTTTCCAAAAGAATAGATAATAATATTTTGGATATGTCAAAATTTCATCCAATGTCGACGTTCCACCCTGTATATACAACTTACGAAGATGCACACATTTTTGAGAACTAGGAACCCCCCAATTTTTAGAATGGGAAAATCGTCTGTGCCATCTAGAGAGCACGAACGTTGGTTTTGCTGTTGTTTTTGCTTGTGTTATTTAATGCAGGTAGTAATCTTTCCATTTCTTTACAATGTGTTTGTGTTTTGTATGCAGCATTTTATATTTTTTGTATTCAATCTTTGATTTTAAAGTTGACTTGATTTAACCCTAATGCAGATTCATGTGTTTGATACCGTTAACCTTTTGTTTGAAATAGCGTTAATTTTTGGTGTAATGTTTGCTAAATTCTTGTTTATGATCATTTTTTTAAACATGTGGAAATTATCGAATTGTTTGATGTGTGTATGTATGTGTACTAACTTGTTTGTAAACTAACATTTTCGCCTTGAAGAGACGGTCACGGGGGTGGCAAAAACTACTCGAAACCCCGAACAAGAGGCAAGTTATCTATCTCGGGGACGAGATTCTGCTAATTAGAAACTCTTCGGTTTAAAAGGGGGTTGCGATTCACTGATTTCCACATATTTTGTTTTAACATTGAATTTGCCCTACAAGACCATGTAATTTTCCACCTTGTTCTTAACAGAAGGATTTTGTTGCATCAAAGATGAGTCACATCCTGTGCATGTCGCCCTTTCTTAAAATGTTTGCTACCTGCGTAGGTATGCTAAACTTGTTTGTAACATTAACTGCAACCAACTTGGATTTATTAATCAAAGAAGATGTTTCATTATTTTGTTGTAATATTATAATTAACGTTATGCTCCTTACACTATTTGAACCGGATAATAATGAATATTATTATTAACCAGGGCGACTTATTTTATTTATTTATTTTATTGAAATCTCGACTTGCGCGTTGTAGGTAAAAGTGCAAATCACCCACGGCAGAGAAAAGAGCCACCTTCGTGATACTCTATTCCTAATCATTTCTTTTAGTTAACCCTTGACATGTAATGACTGAATATTGGTTTTGTGTTTACAGTTTAATATTAATTTGTCAGTTGGTTTTTTTTCTGGGTAAGTTCTTTTTTTCCCAGCCTATTATTATTTTTATTCGGTGAACTACCATTGGCAATGTAATTTCCGAACTTTTACAGTCTTCATCATATGAGTAATAATTATTAAACAAACTTTTTACAATTTCAGTGTTTTATTTTACGTTTCTTCCCTACTGTACTTCAGGCCATAGCGTTGTTTACAACTAACATAAGGGTTCCATACTTTAGATGTTTTGCGAGAATGTTTGATCACATGCCACTTTTCAATTTGAATTTTAAGCAAGATTCTCGTGAGCTTTTGGAGAGAATATCCATTCTGGTGGCCATTTTTAAACGTTGCTGGGTTGATGTTATTTTAGTGTGAAGTTAGCATAGAACCTAAGGGTTAAGTACACTACGTTTTAGATTATTTTTAAGCAACTTTTAAAGGATAAATTTTGGGGCGCCGCAAAGGCACAGAACCTTTTTTCTTCAAATAACGGGCGATCAAAAATGGGTTGATGTCGAGTCGCCTTTGGAAGTTCAGGTTAAGTACGATTTCCTATGTAAACAAAAATTCCAAAGGTTACTCGACAGCAACTCATTTTTGATCGCATGGTATAGCAACCCAACATTTTATTCAAGACTTTTTTCTATGTACAGAGATAGGCAAAAAAATAAATTTGAAAAAATTTAAAATGTCAAATTTCCTTTTTTTCAAAAATTCCAAATGGGCCAACCTTACCTTTTAACCTACACTTTATCTGTCACCATTACGGAGATCCCAATGGTGAACCCTGAATTTGAGCCACCCTGTACAACCAACAAACATTATGCTAGTTTTATCACAAAAACCAGAGCAAAAAATGTCAAAGTCAAAAAACTAATATTTTTTTCGGTTATTTTGATTTTGTTAAAATTTTGACAGTTTACATTAGGCATACAGGATGGAAGACTAAGACTGTCAAAGATGTTTTTTTTAATATCTGGTTTGGGCAGGAAGCTGTTCTGTCAAGAATTTGGCGCGTAACAAAAATGCAGTGAGTGATGAAAAATATATACAGGGTGTCCTATTAATAAAGGTTACAGGCCATATCTATGGAACCGTTAAATGTACAGCTTGGGGAAAAAGACAAATGGAACGTCTGCAATCACGAAAAAAATGCAAAAAATTGACATTAAAATATACAGGGTGATGCATTTAAAAAAACCAACTGTGGGTCAAACGATGGCCAAAAGTTTTTGTTTGACTACGCCACTGGATTCTACCTAAAAATATCTAAAATGGGCAGTTTTTATCTTTTTTTATCGTACACGGGTAGTAAGATATGATAACATCTCAAAAACTCGATCTTCTATATTAACTAATTCACCAAATCAATCCCACTCAATCTGGGACACCCTATATAAGCGTATAGCTCTCTTTTACTTTAAGTAACCCATACTCCGTTTACTAACTTCTGTTATACAATATTGCCTTGCTTTAGTGACAGTCCAAACTTACTTCAACATTCAAACTCATATTTAACTTCCTTCCAAAGGCGACTCGATGTCAATCCTTTTTTGATCGCGCGTTATCAAAACTGACAGACCCGGCAAACTTCGTACCGCCTATCAGTCAATACTCGAGTCAATATCTCGCTTGGTTTTGGGCGCCTCACTTTTACGCGACAAATTGCTTTCGACCACCTTTTCTGAGATGATCCAAAGTATGGTGTTTTTTAAATGCAACGCCCTGTATATCTTAACGTTAATATTTTGCATTCTTTTTCCTTATAACATTGATGTATCACAAGTCACAACCTATATATTTGAATTCATAGAGACACCATGTTTGGCTCGAAATGAGGTTTATTTTATTATCAGTTATTTTATTCAATTTATGTAATCAGGAAAAAGAATGTAACAAATTTTACAAAAAAAAAAGTGCTACAGGGTGGCGAAAAGCGGAAGACTGTATCTTTGAAAATAGCTAAGATACACTGCAGTCTCAACGAAAATGGCACACACAGTACAGGGTGTCCCATTTTTGACACTTATAGAGTCACTGTTAGTGTAAGGTAAGTACAAGGGTAAGTAGGTAAATGAGAAATTCAATTTTTTGCGTGAAGCTTAAATTTTCTTTTATTAACGAGCTCCTAGCGAGTTTATAATTTTGTTGTGTCTGTCCGTCCGTCCGTTAGCACGATAACTCATAAACGAATGGACCGATTACGATGAAATTTTGCAGGTGGATTCTTTATCAAATTTGTAGATCGGAGTTCGTGAATTGGCAATGTAGCCCAAAAAATAAAGTAGGCCCTTTTGACATCTCCGTTAGTTATGAACCGAATTGCATGAAATTCAATATGCGCATAGCTTTAGCCATATGAAACACAATTCCAAAAGTTGAACCTAATCGATCAGCATTCACAGTGCCCTTTGTGCATCTCGACCATTTACAGATCGAATTGCAAACTTTCTTATTTATGAAGGTATTTAAATGAAATTTGATACATAGCCACTTGGAATAAAAGCAAATTTAACGCCAGTTTCAAAATTTGGTTTTGCGCATGCGCAGCTTATTTATGGAGGCATTCAAATGAAATTTCATACATATACACTTTAAATAAAAGCAAAACTAACATCAGGTTTAAAATTTGGTTTTGCACATGCTATAGCCATACCCAGGAGCTCGTTTGCTATATTTGTTTAATTTATTTGGTTTTATTTTGTTTATAAAGTTTTCCATTTTTTTGGATTTGAATTTTTTTGTTTTATAAACAACTGTTAGTGCTATCAGGAAAGTAATATATGCGTCAAGTCCTCTTTTTGGATCAAACTTGAAATGATAACATCAACATTGCAAATACTCGCTTACTTAAGAGATACGGGGGAAAATCAAAAAATTGTCAATTTCAAAATGACCTTATTTTTCTTAGTTAAAGGAGATACAGAAAAATGTTTATTACAGAAGTTTCTTTATAATGATTGTTGTATAACCCGCCGTTGTCAAAATAAGTACGAGATGAAGTAAAAGTTATTGGACCCAACTTCATTTTTAGCTTCCTAGCATGTGCTAGGTAGCTATTGCGATAGCCGTTTTTGGAACATTTCAAAATTTCATCAAATGTCGACGTTTTAGACCATTTTAAGCAACTTTTAAAGAATAAAATTTTTTTCCGTCTGTACGTACGTACGTACGTTTGTTGGCAATTTTCTGAGAAAACGGCTCGACGGATTTTGTTGAAATTTTGTATATATGTTTTAGGCATACCGAACAGAAAAATAACGGGCCGGATTTTTGAAAAAAAATTTTGGAGCGCCGTAACGGCATCGAACTTTTTTTTTCAAATAGCAACCTAAAATTTTTATTCTATTATTTGGAAGACCTTATTTTCCTGTGTACAACCTACAAAAAATTGGGCCGGGTTATATTATCAAAAAACGGAGAAAAAAATTGTCAAAGTCAAAAAATTGTGTTGCATATGTGCAAAACGCAACGATCTTGTTTCTGAAGCAATTTAAACGAAATTTCTATGGTAAGTCCCTTTAATAAAAGCAAACAAAATTCATGCGCAAAAATCGTGTTGCGCATGCGCAGAAATGCAACTTTCTTATTTATGGAACAATTTTAACGAAATTTAGATGGTAGGTCCTTTAATAAAAGAAAACAAAATGCATGCGCAAAAATCGTGTTGCGCATGCGCAGAAATGCAATTTTCTTATTTATGGAACAATTAAAACGAAATTTGGATGGTAGGTCCTCCTAATAAAAGAAAACAAAATGCATGCGCAAAAAATCGAGTTGCGCATGTGCAACATCCAACTTTCTTATTTATGGAGCAATTTTAACGAAAATTGGATGGTAGGTCCCTCTAATAAAAGCAAACAAAATGCATGCGCAAAAATCGTGTTGCGCATGCGCAGAAATGCAATTTTCTTATTTATGGAACAACTATAACGAAATTTGGATGGTGGGTCCTCCTAATAAAAGCAAACAAAATTCATGCGCAAAAATCGTGTTGCGCATGCGCAGAAATGCAACTTTCTTATTTATGGAACAATTTTAACGAAATTTAGATGGTAGGTCCTCCTAATAAAAGAAAACAAAATGCATGCGCAAAAATCGTGTTGCGCATGCGCAGAAATGCAATTTTCTTATTTATGGAGCAATTTTAACGAAATTTGGATGGTAGGTCCCTCTAATAAAAGCAAACAAAATGCATGCGTAAGCAAACAAAATGCATGCGTAAAAATTGACGTTAGACCATTTTAAGCAACTTTTAAAGAATAAATTTTTCCCGTCTGTAAGTGCGTACATATGTTGGCAATTTTTGGTTTCAGCTAGGAAGCTATTCTGTCAAGAATTTGACACCTGGTTTAAATGGGACACCTCATGGCACACCCTGTAGATTTTAATCTAAGAGGATAACATATTATATTTTTTGAAAATATAACTCACCATGGATGGAATTCAGAAACAACAACAAAAAAGTTTTGAATTTGATTGCATCTATATTGTATCTTGAATTTTTTTTAAATTTTTTCATGCTATATTTTTGAAATGAGAATTTAGTTTATTTTTTTAGGTGTACTGGAGGTCTTCTCGGTCTCGGTTTTCTAAATCTATATGAATCAATATGAAATTTGTGTAGTGTTATACATATTTTGATTCTTAATATGATAGTTTTTGATTAAAATATTTCAATTTAAAATGTACGTAGGAAAATCAAAAAATCGTCAATCTCATAATGAACTTATATTTATTAAAGGAGATATAGAAAGATGTTTTTCACAAGTTTCTTTATAAGACTGTTGAATAATCTGCTAATAAGTGCACGGGATCAGGTAGAAAAGTAGGACCTAACTCGAGACCTAATCTCATTTTTTTTGTTGAACACTGTATATTTTATTCGAAAGAGCATATTAAATTGGCGTTCCAAAAATATAACTAAAGAAATTCAAAAATTCAAAATGTTTAATTTTCTGTTTTTTTAATATTTGAACCTTTCCTAAATGTTTTAATTGTTTTTTAATCATTTTGAATTTTTTTTTATCACTTGTATTTTCTCTATTTATTGCGATTGCGTTATGTATTAAAAAAGAGAATTTTAATATGCTATCTTTTTAGATTAAAATATACAGGGTGTTCTATTTAAAAAATGAGGTTGACCAGTAACTTTTTTGCTTTATTTTGCTTTTTATTGACAATTTTTGATTTTCCTTATATCTCTTTAGCGAGCGAGCCGCTTTGTCCGTCCGTCCGTCCGTCCCTAGTACTTCTACTTTTTTCGCTATTCGGTTCGTTATGCTGTCAAGGTTTGCACCGAGGAAGGAATTGTTTCAGTGCCGCTTACAAAAAAAGTTATGGTAAAAAACCCATTTTATTCATATATGCAGTATGTACCATAAGTTAACAATTATGCCGTTTATTAACGGTCCTCAAGATAGTATTGTATTGCTGCTTGTCTATCTGCTTGTCTGTCAGTGTATCTGTCTGTCTGTTTGTCCGTCCGTGTGCACGTTAGCTTTTGTATTTGCGCAATCCATTTGTTTATTTGTTAAATACTTAAATGAAACTTTTGCATAAAACACTCATTCTGTAGATTTGTAACTAAGAAAATAGATGATTTTTCCCCGTACCTCTTAAGAGAGCGAATATTTTCAAATTTTGATTTTACCAGTTTAAGTTTGACCCAAATAGGGCACATGATGACTTTTTTGATAGCGCTAACAATTATGGAGAGACCCTATTAGTGTCGAAAATGGGACACCCTGTACTACAATACCATGGATACTATACGACTATACGATGCACCAGTAAATGGCTACCGCTGCCAAAAATAGAGACACCGGACATTATGGGGTAAACATATGTTATCAAATTCATAATCACTTTTCTAATTATTTGATTAATTAAATTATATTTATTACTATATAGTTTTTATACAGTCTATTCTCAAGAGAATCCAGAGGTTGGATTCTTCAAGAGTAAATGACATATCTCAAAACTAATTTGGTACCACATTGCTCACATGAGAGCTGATGGATTTTCCCCAGCCTTAGCATTAAGTTTAACGTTCAAAAATACTCTGTGGGGAACTTACCTTCTTATCACCAATAAATCAGGTAGGCGAATCTAAAGCACTTGCTTGAAGAGGTGATATTTCAATTCTAAATACATCATACAGATTTTTCCTTTTTAAATCGATGCTACTAAGCTCAATACATTTCAATGAAAGTTTGATTGGTTGCCTAACATTCAGTATAGCATTTAAATTATATATGCAACACATCATACACATAATGTAACTTTGGATTCATTGTCAACAAAATAAATGCCATCAATTGATTAGACTTACACAAATATCCTTCTGCATAGGAAGTAATACTTTCTTCCGTGTCGATCACAGCCCAAACACTCTTGCCGACAAAGCTGCCCCTGCTTCTCTACATCCAAAACACAATCGACCACCCCAGACACTTTGTGCGATCTACAAATACCGCACTGCCAATCATCTTCAGGTACATTCGTTAAGGGTGGGTCGACGCACTCTAGGTGATAAACGGCCGGGCAGGTCTCGCAACAAAGTAAATCGCCCAATTTATGGCACACTCTGCAATGGTCATCATAGTGCATGGGAACTGAAACAAAAGAGGCATATTTTTACCGAGACCTTCGACTGCAACTAATTACCTTCACTCAGCAAGTCTTCCCTCACAGGGTTCGTAGTCAAAAACAGATCGGTAAGGAAATGCAGTACCTTAATGCGATTTTGTACGGTAGTAAATGGATAGTCGGTCGCAGTTAAAATGTTTAAAACCTCCGAATCGAAGTTCTTATCACCCTCGATGTACGACCGCAAAACTTCCGAGTAAGTTAAATTATCTATTAAAAAAATGGTAATGTTTATGCTGTCTTTCTGGTCGAGCGGACCGAAGTGCGTCTGCTGCGAGTCCTCCTCGCGCAGCAAAGCCCTCAAGAGCATAATGTGGATTTCGGCGAGCAACGCGTTTTGATCATCACAGAGAAGCGCGGCGCAAAAGTCCTCCAAGCGAAAGGGCGAGAGCCGCACTAAATTTCGAAAGTGCCTGAGCACTTCGTAGATGCTCACTACTGCCATGATGCTGTCCGAGGAGATCAACAGGTCCTCGGACGATTTCGGTAAAACTAGGGGGGGTAATTCGCGATTTTGCAACCAGAGCGGTTCGGGACTAGGCGGACGTAAAACTGTTCGGCGCGGCGTGCCGCTTAATGTACTGTAACTGCTAAGAGAGAAATCACTGTCACTAGATCTATCACCGTCGTCGACCGACTCGCCGGAATCGCTACCGGTAAATCCGAGCTCGTCGTCTATATCACTTTTGTTATCACTCGATTCGTCACCGAAGTCCGATCCATAGTGGTATTCCGAATCGTGGTAGTCTGCGTTCGGATTGTACCCTCGTCTGGGATAGGCGGAACCGACGAGGCCGCCTTTTCGCGAGGAGCGGTGCCCGTCTCGAGCTCTCGTTCGCGTAGCGTTCCGTTTCGAAACCTCGTACTCCTGAGGCGAGCACGGTCGAGATGTTGTCGGAGTGCTTGATTGCGAATCGGAACCTTTATTTAAATTTTGCAAGTATTTTGGCTTTTTCAGTAGCTGATATTGAAATTTCTTGGCTCTCTCTGCAACTTGAATCTTAGGGGGTCTACCCCTCTTTTTCACACCTCTGGTAGACATCCTGTCTCTGTTAGCTGTCAATCACATCACTCTACACGTGGTGGTAAGACGAAAACAATCTTTGTATACAAATACGACTGTCAGAAATGCGTTAAATGGAATTCATGGTCGTTGCTCGGTCTTTTCTCCATTCTGGAGTGCGTCACGTGACGAGCAACGACAAACTCGGAACGCTATCACGTAAACACATGCAGAACGTGAATTTTTTAAGTATTCTATGCTCGACCGTAGCAGTCGGAGTAGGTTTTTTCGAAAAGTTAAGCACTCACTTTGCCAGAAGGACGCATAAAAATACCTCGAGTGACGCGAACTACGAGGTGAAAAAGAACACCCAGCAAGCGACGATCTGATTGGCCGTCGCCAACTCCGCCATGACAACTTGCATTTGCTAAATTTACAATGTTTAAACAACGGGACCTTGCCGCGCACAAAGATTCATCCCCAAATACCGAAAATCGCAATTGCAATAATCGGCACGAAAAATAAAGCACAAACTGACGACTATCGATTTTACAAAATGCCAAAACCGAACAAACCAATCCTAGTGCTGTACAGGGAACAATATAACGATTTTGTACTAGATGTCGCCCTTAAAATTGATAAATATCGCTTTACGCCCACAAAATCGTGCCGAAAATTGCAAAAACACAACCGGAATGGCCATTAATCCTAAAATTGTTAACAACAAAATCCTAGCATGCTTTCATTGCGCCTCCGATTACGAATTCAAATCACTTCCTACGCTCAACCGGAAACGAAACGCTGTGGCGGGAATTTTGAAATATCGGGCACTTTTCGCAATTTTCCCCCCCCGATTAATTCAAAAGGGCGCCTTTTTTTAACATCACTCTCTTTGCCAACATCCCCTCGTTTCATTTTCACAGTAACCTTCGCCGATTCCGGCAAAAGGTGACGGGAGGGTTCGGTTCCAGGCTTCTGGGGTTACACCACGCTGATGCGGCACACGTACGTTCCTCCAGTCTAGTCAAAAAGGATTTTCGAATCCAAAAAAATGAACGGCCCGGTGAATTTCTACAAAACACGCGAGATAATACGGCACGACGTCGAAGTGTCGGTTCCCAACAACATGTACAAAATGAAAAACATCCACGACAAGAAGACCAAGGAGGGCCCATTAGTTAATCACGTTTCGCCATTTCAAGATTCCGTTAACATTTCCATGCAGGTTAATCAGTTTTTAAAGGTTTTTACGTGTTTTACTTACTCGTGATTGTTTGGCAATTAGTTGTGGGTGGAAATTATGTGCCCTCAGGTAGTTACTCACCATTATTTTTCCAAAGTTTGCTGCTGGACACACACCACTTATCACTTTTTGTGAACAACTGTCAAAGCACTAATGAAAATGAGGAACAAAGAGGTTCTATTTGTTATTCAGACATTTTTTATCACAAGCACATAATTTTTACAAGCACAACCTCAAATTTTAAAATTAGCACAAACTAAATTTAAATACTTGCAGAAACTCGAAGATCAACCGGAAATAAATGGGCTGGAAGAACGACTTCGAAATATCATTCGTGAGCTGGACGAGATTCGCGATGATATGTCCAAGCTGAAAGCCGCAGTCACGGGACATGAACCGGTCGTGGTCCCCGAGTTAAATGACATGATTGTCAATGCGAACCCCTCGTTTCCGCCGTACGCCATCCTCGCCCTTCAGAAATTGTGTGCACCCGTTGTGAATCTAGTAGTTGGCACGCATACGCATTCGTCCATACCGTCACTTACACCTGAAGCGGAAAATCTCGCGCAGAAGTTGAGGGAGTTTGTGCCACTAGCAGATCTGCCGAAAATCTCCCTAAGGCTCATTTGGAAGAATGGTAAGCAACTCTCACTTGTAACGTACACATCTCATTTGTCTACTTTCAGTTGGTCCAGCCTGTGAATTACTCGCGACTCAGCTACCGATTTGCGGCGAGGCGAACGTGTTAAGGTACTTCGCCAGGGTGCTGCCCGGACTGTTTATATACGAAAATAGTGATAATGTAACCGATTTAGATGCCGCACTTGACATAGCCTACTGTTTAGTTCAAGCGAAAACAAAGACTGAACGTGCTTCCCATCTGCAGTCATTGTCCAAGAAGTTAGGAAAAAGTCAGTTTTTGTGTGCACATGCCGAAATTACCATAGCCGATATAGCGGCGTGTTCTGCAATTAAGCAGGTCGCACAAAATGAAGTTAATCAAACTATGGGCAAGTGGTTAGTGAGATGTGAACAATGAATTGTTTTAATTTAATAAATTAATCTGTTTGTCATTGTTTTTTTCTTTCAACTTTTTGTTAGCATTAAATGTAATAATCATAGTTGCCTCTATAACAATAGAGATTTTGTGACTTTGTAAGCTGAAAAGTCCCCTCTATAGATATGAAAAAATTAGCTGATTGATGGGGCTAGGCAATAACAACGTTCCAGGCAGCACAATTTCGAATAGTAGATCCTGAATATTGATTAAATTGTAGAAAATATCTGCTCCCAGAATGGCCCCCAAGGAAAATTCACAGTCCACTGAATACTACATATGAAACAGGTTGGAGTCCAAGGAATATTAATGTTCAAAACAGCCTGGCCCCTAAAGAAAATTAGCCCCAGATAATGGCCCTCCAGAAATTGACTCCATGGAAAATTCACACCCAAAAGTATTCATATTTTCATTATGAAAAAAAACCCTATAATATTACACACGCTCAGAAACGCTTTGACGTATAAAGCTCAAATTTAGCTCTTAGATAGGTCACAGAGATTTACTTTAAAGTGCGGCGTTTACAAACATCCTTTCTCTTCCAAAAAGTACTTCCAGTTTTTAGAGTACATATTGACATCATATAGTGAACTAGAAAAAGCACAAACAGCTTAAAGAGGAACAACGCTAATAGGGCTTTCTGAGAATGTTCACGCGCGACTAGGGGCTCCCATCGCCAAAGGTGTGGCTCTACAGTGTACGTTGCCTATGAGCTTTGTTATGAAGCAAAATTGTCTGGTAGCCTAGAACCAAACTTGCAACCACCAGAGCACGTTTGTAGCATGTGCAAAAAAACCCTGGGGGCCCAATTGTGAACATAGAGTCATGGTTGAACATCAAATAGGCAAGGGTAGCGCACTCTCGAAAGCTGAGGCTGCAGTCAAGTGGTTGCCCATAGGCAAAATGGACTCTCTCGTTCAGTTACATCCCAACCTGGTATATTCATCTTCACATATGGAGCTCAAAACAACTTCCAAATCACGCAATCACTAAAGGCAAATTCTCAACGGTTTTTCAAACCATATGCCAATCATCATCATCATGCTAGACGTCTAGTATAAAAACAGCCACGTCAATCATCGCAAGTATAGCCGCACACTGCAAAACTTATGTCTTTTTCTTCACATGGGCTAGATAGAGATGAAATATAATAGCAAAATTTGTATACACATCAAAGGCGACCAGTTTATTGCAGTGGGCGACGTCTAGTAAAAATCTCTGTGAAAATATTCAGAACAATAAGAGTATTCAGTGATAAAGCGGTCTTTCAGCACTCCGCCGTTACTGCAGAATCACCTCTAGACCAGTGCTAGAATATCATCATTTATTAGAGCAAAAGTATCATCATCCAGCAACTCTCACGCCACGATTTTGGTAAAAAGCTTATTCGAGGTACCCCCCCCCCCCTCCCCCCGAAAGTAGAACAAATCCTAACAAATTGGCAACACATGCGCCATGTGATATTTTTAGAAAGTTCTTATACGTGAGTTTATTTAAAAATGTCTTGTTGGGAACGGGAACAAAGAAGAACTTAGAACATGATCTACCGGAGATAAATGTCCCGGAACTATCATCCCTTAAGAAAGAGCCATTTTTTTAAAATAATGTTATCTGCCGTAAGGGCCTAGGTAGGTATAAAAGGCCTACATATTTAGCATATAGCTCTTCCTCTATTATGTTTAAGAAAATGTGTACCAAATTTGGTTCCAATCGGTTCAAGCCGGAAAGAGAGTACAGACAGGCTGACAGACAGAGACAGACCTACACATCATCTAGATTTTGTTTGATTCGGATTCCTGGTGCTCTAAAGTCTAAAACATGTATTTCCATTAAAAAAAGTGGGGGGTCACTTTATACCCCAAGGCACGGTGACCAATACCTCTCTTACTAACGTGCCGGTGGTAAAAATGTGCAATTTTAAATCTGAAAATTTGTATCCAGAACAAACAAATTCATCTCTATTCAGCAGTAAAATAAACTGTACCATCAACAAGCGACAAGGTCACTTCCGGTTGACGAGTATATTGCTCAAAATTTAATCAGTTAGGCCCCTTGACTATAGTCTACCTATTCTTGAAAACAGAATTGGAATATTCCAAACCGTTTGCGAGTTATCATGTAGGTATACACAGATGGACTGACGGACGGACAAAACATAATAATATACTGAAATCAAATTTGGAAAATTCGAAACTGTTCGCGCGAGTGGACGGAATTATCATATAGATCGACGGACAGAAAACCCAAATGACCAAAATTGAATCAGTTCGTCCCTTGACCATTGTTTACCTATTTCTAAAAACAGAATTGGAAAATTCAGAACCGTTTGCGCGAGTTATCATGTACACAGGCAGACCGACTGACGGACAGGCAGGAAGTTCAGAATCAAAAGGCCAACCAAGATACAAAACACTGTACCTATGTATGTACTTATACTAACTTAAGCGTGCATGGGAAATTGGAACTCGCCATAGCTCGTCAACGGAACATTCGCCACCCCACACGAATACTTCGTCGCCATCAGGAACTAACTCTAAAAGAACAATTCACGTACAAGAAACTGAACGTCAAGGACCGACTCTTCTGCTCTTGTGCGTCTGTCGATTCACCCTCCTTTAGAAATAGTAATAAGTAGGTATATGTAACCATAAAAACTCAAACTTTTTTTTTAAAACGCATTTCCAAAATAATCGACCATTCCTTACACTGCCTGCCCAGAACTTCCGCCATTTTTTTAAACACACGCAGTTTTTGGAATTGACTCAAATCGGTTCCCTTTCAGAGGCATTTTCAGTTTGGGTCCCTAAGTCACACAGAGTGACAGAGCCATCTCGGGGAGTAGGGGAAGAGCCGAACGAGCCACCAGGAATGTGTGTTTGACTAAAAAAAACCTGAATTAAATGCGCCGAATGGGCGGTTGCGGTATCGGTGATGAAGCTGCCAAGATTTTGCAAATATAAATGAGGATAGCGGGTGTTACATGATCGCATGTAAAAAAAATTGGGTGATAGAAGGGATCAGGACAAGCACTTTTTCCAAATAAACCGAGGGTCCAACGTATTTCGTTTGGGAGCCACCCCCAAAGAAGTGGTGAAATTTGGATTTCTTGTTTAATTTTTTTCTCAGCAACCATAAGAGTTAGAAAGATGGGGCACGTTTTTGAATAGGTTTTCGGGTATGCAGTGTAATTTTGAAAAAATAATTCCAGATTCGTCATTTTCATGTTCAAAAACCCCCAGAGATACCAAATTTCGTCGAAATCAGAATTTTTTTTCACCCTTTCGTGGTAAGAATTTTGAATTTTTTTTTCAAAATCGGATAGAGCATACCCGAAAACCTATTCAAAGACGTCTTTGGAACTCGCTTATAGTTGCCGAGACAACAATTAAAGAAGAAATCCAAATTTCACCACTTCTTTGTGGCTCCCAAACGAATACATGTTGGACCCTCGGTTTATTATAAAAAATGCTTGTTCTGATCCCCTCCATCACCCAATTTTTTTTATGAGGTCATGGAACACCCCGTACAATTCGTAGTTATTTCGAGTGTTCTAAAGAGCAATCCTTTGCGTTTGCTTGGAGCAATTTTCGGGCGAGTATTGCGGCGACGAATTTTCTCAAGAATGGATTTGCAGGAGAAGCAACCGGTCTTGGGTGGAGCTTACACAAATTTCCGAATGAGCGAGAAACCCGACGGGTGCCATTTCTCCGAAAAAATTTCTCCTTGGAGGTAAACTGAAGCGAATTTTCCTTGCTTGGAGTAAGTTTCTGTTGAGTACTGCAGCAGAGGCAAGTTTTCCTTGCGAGAGACGATTCTCAGCGTCGTCTCTTTTATATTAAGAATGGTCTTCACCTCCACCGCCCCTACCTTTAAATGTTTCAGTACATGAACCGCAGTGTGCAACTGTGCTTAGTAAATTTCACTTTCAAAAAATAAAATGTGCACTTTTGCCCTCTTAATTGTCCGTCTGTCTGTATGAGTCACAAAAGCTCCGGAACTACACCACTTTACAGACTTAGTATTAGTGTCATTCGATCAGAAATTAAAAATTATTTCAAGTCTGATGTATTCTCATTAAGGCATGAAATGTCCATAAGGGCTATTAAAATCGAAAAAACAAATCTGAACGTGCATTCTTCGCCTCTTGGTCACAAGCGGCTTAACGATTTTTTTAAATTATTTAATTGTGATCCATTAAATTGATCCACCACCCGCTTTTAAATAAATAATATTTAATATGTCACCAACATTACAAAATTAGAAGTTTTGCGGGAAATTCAAACTGTTAGCGGTCATTTTGGATCACCCGCTATATGTAGTCACGTTTTTGTATTTTATCAGAATTTTCGCTTGCCGTTATGCAATAGAAGTGATTGTTAGTGTTTAGTGGGTCCTAATTAAACAAAAATAAAAACTCACCATTGCAAGGGAAGCGATCATTACCCCTATTGGCCCTATTTACCATTGGAACGACGTTACATCGACCTGACCGCTTAAAACTTTCGCCAACTACTGTACGGAAAATTATTTGTTACCTTAATGAAGCGATAACATGCACAAATCAGTGCCGCGCCGGCGCGACCTCCTTTTCCTTAGTCACACCAATACCTTAATTTAAAAGTTAAGTTTTTTAAATAAAAACAACTAATCCTGTTGACTTGAGGTCAGTCACATCAAACTTCTAGAATTACCCAATCTGTATCTTAAAGTTTTCAATAACTGAGCAATGCCTAAATTACTATCGTATTTTCCCTTCCCAAAATGCGCTTTGAGAAAAAGCTTTTCCCTTGTGCAGATCTTGCGCAAGCATTGCTGTTTTTTTCAAATTGCGGCCCTCAATTTCTGCCAAAATGCTCACTCAAACCAGTCGAATTATAAGATCTGGAATGAGAGTGGCGATGGCATAATTTAAAAAAAAAAATAAGTTAAAGGTCCAAAATGTTCCGTTTGAGAGCTACACCCTCAGGTTGTGAAAAGATACCTACTTACACAATAATTCAAAACACAGTGCCTCTGAGGAAGAGGGAAAATGCACCAAGGAATTCTCCAACTAATTAGAGCTATAAGAGGGAGAAATGATGCACAAAATCTCGATGATGTCGGTCTGTCTGTACTCTCATTTCCGGCTAAACGACATAATCGCGCATGCGCAGGTGCATCTACGCTAGCCATAGCAAATCTGCTAGATCTGCTTTAAGGTACGTTTCCTATGAAACGTCTGACGCGGTGTGCCTTTTACGCATGCCACTGGAGACGGCCGCCGCATGCAGGTTAGAACATGCTTCCATTGCTTTCTATTGAGGCGGTGCATTGCGTCAGCCGCTTCATAGGGAACGTACCTTTAGGGGTTTATTTTGTATTAGGGAGTGTCATGATAAATGTTTTCTGAGATATTCTATACATGAAAGTTCTAAGGGCTGAACGTTTTGGGAGAGAATGTAGCACTGGAAGGGGGGGAGGCTGAGGGCTATTCCAATACGGCCAGGGGCGGACTGGCCCGGGGGGGCGGGTGGACGTTGGAAATTTATAAGTATGTGCTGTATTTAGTTTCTTGCACTATTAATAAGTTATGAACACGTTTCTCTAATTGGGGTTGATGTTAGGTTAAAAAATTCTGTTTTAATTGAAGTGTTTTACAATGAATTTATCATTTTTTGTCGTAGCATGAAAATACTGAAATACAATGATAGGCGACGAACCTCGTGTGGATTGTATATTTTGTTACTTTTATCAGCTGCAATTTAAAAAAAACCTGTATTGTAATTGATTTCCGAAAAAGGAGTACTTTAAAATAAAGCAAAAAATGTTTTTGTGGTGCACCACAGAGCTACCCCCACGCCACCTTCATTACTACACTAATGCTTTAATGGCCCGTAACCTATGCAATTCCACCTGGCCCGCCCGTGACTAGAAACCAATTTCGAAAGAAAATTCAAAGGGCTGTAACTTTTGAACTAGTAGCCCAATCTTGGAACTGTTTGAAATTATGGATTCTACAGGCCACATTCTATAAAACAAATTTTTTCCAGGTCGATGTGAGACAATTTTTTTTACGGAGCTCAAAAAAAGGCAGTGTATAACCTTCCTTTTTTACCAAAAATCGACTGCACCAAAATTTCTCAGGAAAACACTTTTTCTTATTAATTTTGGTGCGTAGAATCCAAAACAAATCGTACTTTTTTGATCGGACGTCTCAATCAAAAGTTTTAATTATCACCTGCAATTTAAAAAAAAAACTGTATTGTAATTGATTTCCGAAAAAGGAGTACTAAAATGAAGCAACCCCCCCCCCCACCACCTTCATTAGTACACTAATACTTTAATGGCCCGTAACCTATGCAATTCCACCTGGCCCATAAGTACCCAGTCCGCCCCTGAATACGGCCCAGCTATAAGGGAGAATTGATGACACTATCTCAAAAACAACTGCCAAGCTAGTTTTCGGGAAACAGATTCCTTCTGTGTGCTCGGGGGTGTTCCATTCCCCTTAGGGAAGGGGGGGGGGGGAGGGCGCAGATTACTAATTAGACCAAAACCCAAATTTTGTACATACTTACCATTTAAACCAGCCAAACATATCTGGTGTTCTCTGATACTGCATTCTGTTGTTTTCTGTAATTGTGGATTACATGTATATACAATAACAAAATATACCTGCCCCACTTGAAATATATTCGACAAAATACGACTATATTCCAAGTAAAATTTAATTAACACTTATAGCATCATCAATTGTGCTATTTTCATAATTTTTAATATTTCTTTTAAACATAGAATCACAGATTTATATTACAATTGATCTAAATAATTACAGTAATAAATTACAATTAACTTAGGCAGTGTATTCTAATCAGTACAATGCTAAAAATGGCGCAAAATATTTAACAAGACACTACATATAAATATACAAAGTCTTTAGAGTTAATCATTGGTAAAATTATTAATCACATCTAAATGTAGAAACAATTAGATTTTCCCATTTATGTTCTTGACGCGCTGGCTAAATTTAGGGCAATCACTGCGAAAGCCGGTCAGTCGAAAAGTAAAAGGTGATCGATAGCGTCTAATCTACTGCATTTGCCAAATGTATCTCAAGACTTGGTGTATTTTTACAGTTTAACTTAGGCAAATCACACAGGAACATTTTAAAGATTTACAAAAATAAGTTATTTACTACCGTTACGGAAATGAACATATCATTCACTACTTGTCGAGACTTAACGAAAATAGAAGTCGAGTCATAGAAAAGTAAAAAAAAAGGAATGAGATATTTACAATGGGTTTCACGATTGATAGCGAGTAGTTTCAAAAACGTAAATAGGCAACGCGTTGTACCCTTTTAGTGTACGATGCCTTGCCTATCGGTCAGCTCGCTAACGCAACGACAGTTGATCTTTTTAGCACATTTAAGTATCAAACCTGTTAGCAAATGGATGAAGAGTGAAATTTCTCTAACTATTTACACGAAGGATGAAAATCCAGGGAGAGGCGCCCTCGACCTCGCCATATTGTTCATAATAATTTGGCCACCGTTTAAACTCACGACGGCGCTACCTTCTGGCTCAGAGTCTGTATAACTGGAGTAATTTCGCACTGGCTTCTGTCTCTTCCACGACTGCCTCAGAGAGTCGTTTACGTTGGCGTAGTGGTTAACGAAAGAGTGAGGATCTGAGCGCACGCTTTCGTTTTCGCTTTCCGAACCCTGCAAGTAATCAAATGAGTTACAGAATATTCAGTTAAGCTCCATAAAGCCATTTTGCTGATTGAACATAAACCATAAATATGTAAACTACAATGCGAGGTGCGCAATAAAATAAAATGTGGTTTAGAGGCAGATTGGGATGTAATTTGTTCTTTTGTTAATTTTTTATAGCTCATAGCATTTTGGTATCACACGTTGCTTTGATGATTTTACAATTTACAAAAACAAATAGTGTGGATTACCGCGGGTACTTTTTTGCCTTTACGAGGTCGGTGGGTAGCCTATCATGTTGCCAACATACAACTTGAGTTATGTCCGGTCTAGTACTAACAAGTCTCTGGTCTGACCACGTCAGTGAAATATTTGGAAGTCAACATAGACTCCCGCCTGACCTGGAAAGGGCACATTGAGCGAATAAGCAAAGAGGCCTTGTACACTGTGAGTCAACGATTGCGCGGAGTAACTTAATGCCTTGAAGATAAGATTTTTCGATAGAGTGCTTTTGTACTATGATATGGTTGAATATTCTCCGCATTTTAAAAATATTTGGAATTATACAGGGTGCGCCCACAAAGTAGGGCGCCCAAATGGTACATTTTTTTAAATAGAACCCCCTATATTTGAATGCATTTTTGAATTCTGCTTGTAATTGTACATGTTTTTTTATTATATGGTGAATATCCGAAAAGCTAGTAGTTTTAAAGATAATTCGATTTTTAAGAAAAATTGGGCATTTGCAAGCGTCAGTATATATTGTCAAAATTATTACTTAAATTTTGATTCCAGGTATTATATCTTAGCCTGGGTTAAGTATAAAAGTCAAATAAATACATCTACTATGAAACATTAAAAAAATAGCTTACAGGGTGTTTTTTTTTGCAAAACTTCATATTAAACCCCCTGTATATTTTTCTGTCATCATTTAGCTCCTCCAAAAACCTTCAACTTTTGATAATAATGTCCTATACCTATCTCTGATAGTTTTCGAAATATCTTGGTTTTCCTGGGATTTATAAGTTATATGTAATTTACATAATAGTGAGGTGTTCAAGCAAAAAAAAGGCAATTTTTATCTGCCTCGTTCAAAACTAAAATCATATTTATTAATTCATTTGTCTAATAATTCATTTAATTTAATAATAAATTTCATGACCTCACTATTATGTAAATTACATATAACTTATTTAAGATTAGAATATAAAGCCCAGGAAAACCAAGATATTTCGAAAACTATCAGAGATAGGTATAGGACATTATTATCAAAACTTGAAAGTTTTTGGAGGAGCTAAATGATGACAGAAAAATATACCGGGTGTTCCATTAAAAAAAAGGGAGATTTTTTAATATGAAGTTTTGCAACTTTAGACCTACCAAAAAAACACCCTGTAAGCTATATTTTTAATGTTTCATAGTAGATGTATTTATTTGACTTTTACTTAACCCAGGATAAGAGATATAAAACCTGGAATCAAAATTGAAATAATAATTTTGACAATACACTGACACTTGCAAATGCCCAATTTTTCTTAAAAATCGAATTATCTTTAAAACTACTAGCTTTTCGGATATTAACTATATAATAAAAAAGACTTACAATTACACGTAGAATTCAAAAATGCATTCAAATACAGGGGGTTCTATTTAAAAAAATTTACCATTTTGGCGCCCTACTTTGTGGGCGCACCCTGTATAATTCCAAATATTTTTAAAATGTGGAGAATATTCAACCCTATCATAATACAAAAGCACTCTATCAAAAAATTTTATCTTCAAGGCATTAAGTTACTCTGTGCAGTCGTTGACTTACCCTGTACATAGGGCTTGAACCCTCAACTGATATATTGTCTTTACACAGTAGTGATAAGACCAATAATACTGTACTGTGCACTTGTATGGTAGCGGGCAACCCACAGATAGCACTGGAGCCATGAAAACCACGCCAACTTTGGCGATGGAGGCACTTCTGGGACTAAGACCAGAGGTTTAGAAGGCTTCCATACGACTAAGGGCCGGTTGCACAAACGCAGTTTAAACTTCGTTTAAATTAACGCAATGGATTAAGACATGATTAGTGGAAATTTGACGTTAAACGTCAAATTTCAACCAATCCTAGACCGTAATCCACTGGTTAATTCCAAGCTAGGTTTAAACTGTCTTTGTGCAACCGGCCCTAAATGATTGGGACAAGTGGAAGGATCAAGGAAGCCTTGGGCACGTGCGAATCTGGGAGGAAAGCCTCAGAACTGACCCCCTCCTCGCAGGAAGGGATGTGATCCAAGACCGAAGAGTTATAAGGTCACTCCTCAAACCTGAGGAGTTCGTGTGGTTTACAGACGGTTGGAAAGGAGAACGGGCATGGGTGTATAGCGACTGAGAGCTGACAGCAGCTTCTCTCTTGGTCAGCATAGCACCGTGTTATAGGCAGAGATTTTGAGCCATCATGACCTGTGAACAGGAAACCCTCCGTATAGTTCTGTAATAAGCATATACAGTGATATTTATTAAGAAGTAGACATAGAGATTTGGGTGTATTGTCTTCCCTATGTCTACTTTTAACAAAATCGCTTCTGAAGGGCGCCTAATTTTATGCATCCAAAATGTCAAATTGCTTTGCCTTCACCGAAAATAAATTTCTTATTTCCTTAAACTTCTTATGTTCCTTAAACAGTTACCGGCACTGCACCAATTGTCAATAACTTTTTTTTTAGTTGAATACATCGCACACGAACGAAAATAAAAATACGGAAGCCAAAGCAACAAATTTCAAATTAATTAATATGTATGACAGCCAGATTCCAATTTGTTTTAAGAAGTTATTTTGGTTGCATAAAATTAGACGCCCTTCAGAAGAGATTTTGTCATTTAAAAGTAGACATATAGGCCAAAACAATACACGTAAATCCCTATGTCTACTTCTTAATAAATATCACTGTATACATATTATGCAGTGACAGTCAGGCAGCGTTGAAGGTCGCCTGTTTGCAGACAAAACTCTAGGGGAGTCTAATAGCGTAAGCATGACGTGAGTGCCAGCTAGGGCAATGCGGAATAGGAGGGAAACGAAAGAGCGGACGAACTGGTCCGTGAAGGCAGTGGTCGGGACAGAGTAACCTCCGGAAAAAAATTCTCCCTCGCAGGAATACTCCCTCACTAGGATATTACCTTTGAAGAACTAACGTTCAAGGCTGAATTTTCGCCCCAGGAAGAACTTGCCTCTGCCATTCATAATACAGGGTGTACCGAAATTCGCGCACACGGACTATGGGATGACGTGTTATACGACAAAAACTGAACAAAAAGCTCCTCTACCAGTTTTCCATTAGACCGCTATTTTTCGAGCTACCGCGGTTTTAAAAATCTCCGCCCCCCCCCCTACGCTGCGCCACTGGTTAAACTTAATAATAACACATTTTTAAAAACAAAAGAAGGTTCAAAATAAAGTATAATTATGATCACGTACGTAATTACAACAGTTACTCAAAATGTCCGCCGTCTGCTAGTAAATAAGCTTCAGCACGTCGAAAAAAAGTGTCGGTCTGATCAAAAACTGGTAGAGGAACTTTTTATTCAGTTATCGTTGTATAACACCATCCCACAGTCCGTGTGCGCGAATTTCGAAACACCCTGTATAACTGATAGTCACTTGCAGAGGGTTGTACCATATTTGTGGTTCTCAGGTAGATCCAAAAGTTCCTTCCATGGCTCTATTAAAATTGTGAGCGGCCGTAGAAAATCCCTCCCCTCCCCCTCTCTCGGAATACGCGCTCGCAAAGATCTTATCTTTTCAAAAAAATTCACGTTCAAGACAAATCGTCTCAAAACCCTTGGAAAAATTATTATGTATCCGATTCGAGAAGTTCCTTCCACCCCTGAAAGCCACAGCCCCCCCCCCCACATTCTCGCCACAGAAAAACATTCGCAGTACTCACTCGCTAAAATCTTATTTTTCTTACAAAAATTCACGTTCCAGACCTCAATTCAAAGGAATTGTGCACTTAAATAGACTGGCCCTTGACACAAATGTTATGTATCCAATCTAAAAAGATTCCTCCCGTTTCTGCAGCACCCGGATACATCCGGCTCCAAAAAGTTCGCGCCCGGAGCCAAATTATCCCATGTTGATATACTTATATAATTATCCCAAAACTTTTTACAAGCAAAATTCATATTCAGGACAACTAGATCCAGAAGAATTGCTCTCAGAAAAAGTTCCACTTGGAATCATTGGTGTTCTTGACCACAACTGTGCTGAAGATCTCGTGTGGTGCAGTTCCGTTGAAGCTGGACTGCGGCACTAAGGGTCGCTGGTACGAATCCGGGTTCGGGCATGGATATTTTGTAAATGTATAGTGGGTTGGGTTGGTAGAGCAACCTTGGCTGAAACCCCGCCCACTCAAAAATAAAGGCAAAATAAATAAATAAAAAGATCGGGTAGGTCACAGTGAATGAAGCTATTTCCAGGCTGGAGACGGGCGCCGAGCGACCCAGCTCTAGAAGACGAATGCCAACCCCCTCAGGTTTTTCATACGCCGGATCCTCAGATGATGGAGTACGCCCGCATTAGCGTGGAATTTTCTTTTGCTGTACTGAATCTGATTTTATTTATGTGTAACATAATATATAATCTGATAGTCATAGCCTGCCAGGAGGAGTCGCCAGCGGCGCATCCTAGAAAACAGGGTATCAGAGATACTCTTGTTCGGATTGAAGATGTCCACCAATGGCTTATGGCCAGATTGATAAGGAGACATGGTGTCCGCAACTTTCATCAATTCCTTGCAGGACGTCAAATGTGATAATAGTCACAGACCATATGCTATTGGTGGACATCCTCACTCCGAACAAGAGCATCTCTGATACCCTGTCTCTCGCTGGCGATTCCTCCTATGATGACTATATCAGATTCAGTACCGCCAAGGGAAAACCCATGCGAATGCGGACGCATTCAGCAGACTGTGGATCCGGCATATAAAAAACCTGAGCCGGTTGGCAATCGGCTTCTTGAACTCTGGATCGTTCGGCGCCCGTCTCCAGCCTGGAAATAGCCTCATTCACCGCAACCGACCCGATATTTAGCAAAGTTCTGGTCATGATACAAAATGATTGGCCATCCAAAGTTTCCAAGGAACTACGTCCCTATGCGGCTGTCATCTGAGCTCTCGTTACTCAACTCCGGCGCTCAACTTCTCTTGATGATTCATGAATTCCCGTGGTTACCAGGGATCGTTGTACTCCGCCGCGGTACAGTCATGTATGAAATCCAAGATGAAGCAGGTACCTACCAGAGGCGGAGCTCAAGTCCCAACATTCAATCCGCCAATCTGGAGGTAGAAGTTACGGCGGATCTCGTCCCACCACTCCATACTTCCTGAAACGTTGTAATTCCGGTACCTACCTAACTATGGGAGGAACGAGGCCCCAGACCACCAACAGGAGGTTCCTCAGCAACACTATCATTCGCCACAGGGTGAGAAGTCAAATGTACCACTTAATGAAACTAACAGGCGCCCCAAAAGGAATTGTACGTTACCCACTACTGCCATGTGCTGACGTGTGTCATGTTCCACCATTGCTGGGGACCTTGGGGAGTTGGCTACAGTGACATTCACATACTTTGACACGGACATAACCTGTATATAGACCGGGAGGCAGCGTACATAGTAACTAAACCATAAGCGACAAAAAATTCGACAATACAGGCTGAAAGTACGTTGAAAACTAAAAATAAAATCACTAGTCTGCCAGTCGTAAGTGGCAGCATTAACTTGGGGCGGCGCTGAATAGGTGACTTCTTTAGGTGATCAACTAAATTACCAAACTATTACGGTCACGGAAAAGATTTGTATCAAGAAATCCCATTTTTTCCATAGTTTTCAAATATGCTATGGCAGACGATTTCAAGTGCAGCGTTGGTAGCGAAAGACGCCCTCCAATGTAGGGAAAAACACCCCTGAACTAAACCATGAGGACCGTATAAAAATTATACATAAAAAATTCCTCTTTTTGTCACTACTTTAAAATATATCCTGGCAGACGATATTAAGTGTAGCTTTAATAGTGGCAGACGTCTTAGAAGTTAAAAAATTTAGGTATAGTAAATCCCAGCGAGTGCGAGCGTGTGAGAGATAAGCGCGCGAGAGCATAACCAACAAAGATAGCGATAGGATACTGACTACTGAGATCTTTCAAACCATTTGATTCTAAACTTCTGATTCACATAGTTCCATCCACTTCAATCAAACGGATTGTAGAAACTCAGACATTTTTCGGTGGCATTCGCCCAAATTGCGATGAACTAAACCATAAGGACCATAAGTCATACATCCGGTAAATGCGTGGGAACCCGGTAACGCGTTACCCTGCGCGTTACACACATCAACACCCAAATTCACGAACATCTCTCGAAGATTTATGAATTTCTGCGTGTTATTGGAAAAGGGACCTATTTCCATCTATACCTTAATGGTAGCGTCAATTTTACATTTCCCAAAGCAATAACAGCAATATCCATATCGGAAGCGCTAATAATGACTTTGCTACTTGTTGGTAGTTTACCAAGATGGTAAATTATTCGAGAATCTGCCTCTTAGTGACTGCAGCACAATTCAGTTTTTACCACATCATCTTCCCTTGTCACAAATTTATAGCACTTATCTTCATATGTGGCAAACACAACTTTCCTTCCAAGTAAAGCGCAACAGGTCTTTTTTGCCTATGAACGGTATAAGTAATCTATAAGAGAGGCTTTGAGCTATCATTGCGAAGTGGTTTTATGAAATTTGCAGGCTGCTTCTGAGTGGAAACAGAAATTGAGTAGGATTGTAATCTTTCCTTATTTTGATCCCAACGATCATGTTCTGCGTGCTTCATGGAAGGGGTAACTATCTGTCAAAAGTAAGATGTACTTCTCTCGCTGACACAGCACAAATCTTGCCGAGGATGTGTTCAGAAAATCGCTCAAAGGTTTACCGGAGATCTTTTAAAAGATGCAAAAAAAAATAATCCATCGATTAAAACAACATCTACAACTGGCGATGGACTAGGAGCACTTGAAGAAATGATACTTCCGAAAAAGTTTCAGCAAAACAAACTTGTCGATTTTAATCATCGATCCATCAATGTTGCATAGAGACAACGGAATTGGAGTCAGAGGATAGTTTAGAACGAGCTGAAGATCTATCTTCTTTTCTCTTCAAGTTTTCTGTTTCTCAGTCTGAGAAGAATTCAAGAAATACCGACAATCTTATCGCGAAATTAACAATTTATTATTTTCCCTAATTTAATTCGTTTGGTAACTCCAAGCGGTGCGTAAATCTATAGCTATCTCTGTTCGTTGTGCTCTCGCGCGCTTATCTCTCACACACTCGCACTCGCTGGGATTTACTGTACCTAATTTTTTTTAACTTCTAAGACGTCTGCCACTATTAAAGCTACACTTAATATCGTCTGCCAGGATATATTTTAAAGTAGTGACAAAAAGAGGAATTTTTTATGTATAATTTTATACGGTCTTCATGGTTTAGTTCAGGGGTGTTTTTCCCTACATTGGAGGGCGTCTTTCGCTACCAACGCTGCACTTGAAATCGTCTGCCATAGCATATTTGAAAACTATGGAAAAAATGGGATTTCTTGATACAAATCTTTTCCGTGACCGTAATAGTTTGGTAATTTAGTTGATCACCTAAAGAAGTCACCTATTCAGCGCCGCCCCAAGTTAATGCTGCCACTTACGACTGGCAGACGAGTGATTTTCTTATTAGTTTTCAACGTACTTTCAGCCTGTATTGTCGAATTTTTTGTCGCTTATGGTTTAGTTACTATGTACACTGCCTCCCGGTCTAATAAGGGAGCATTACAGTTATGGAATTAATAAACTGATAACTATTAGCGAATATAGTGTTTTTGTAAAACATGACACCTTTCATTTCTGCAGCTCCTCTAACTATTTCGGCCTCATTCCAGAAACTGTCGTTCCATTTCTGTAGCTCCCAGGTAAATTTCCTACTCAAATTTTCGCCCCCGTGTAAAATTCGCTGCCATGCTCAAAAGGATTTTATCTTCCCCAAGAAAAATTCACGTTTGGGACAATACAACCCATTGGAAAAACCAACATGTACCCCACTCCATTGTCCATGTCTGATGGTCAATGTTTCTCCAGAATTTTCACCTCCGCGAACAATTCTCCTCCGTCGGAACACTCGTTCACCAGGATCTCCAGAAAAAAATTCACATACGGGACAATTCGACCCAGAAGACATCGGAAAAAATTCTAATAAACTTAGAAAGTAAAAACACCTCAACACTAATAACTCACCCTTCAGGTGCAAAAGGGTACTTTTGTGCGTTTCTTATAGTGGTCGCGCCCCCTTGATTTCCATTCAGTTCAAATTTAAAAAATTGAAATTGCACTTATTTTTTTAAATATTTTTTTGAAATTTGAATTGTTAAAAATTTTTGAAATTTAATTTTGAAATTTTCAGAAATTAATTACGTTAATTCATAGAGTTTAATTTTTAAGGCCCTTGAATGTAAAACCATTTGTTACGGTTTTTTTCCAAAATTTGGATTCTTGAAACCCTTTGTCACCCGAACCTCATTTTCAAGCCGCAATCAGGATCTCATGCTATCTTCCAAAAATTACTTTTAGATTTTATGGATACCTTACTATTACTACTACCATACTAACGTATCATTGAGGTTCAAACATTTTAAAAAAATCGTCCGACAATGTTTTAAAAAATTTGGATTTAAATTTTGCAGAAATTGCCCGAAATAAGCTTCCGTTTTTTGTTTTTTCCCCAGAGAGAAAAACTGAGAAATGGCTGATTCCTTCAATTTGCTCTAACTCCTTTATTTTGAAGCTAGAACATAATCGCTTTAGCATTATTAGGCACTTTTTAACGTAGAAATCAAAGCCGTCAGTCGTTTGTTTCTAACCCTTTAACGTTGATCTTTTTAATGGAAATTATAGTTGGCAATGGTTTTAACAAAATACTTGTTTTACTAACTTTCGGGAAGTGTATATGTCTTACTTATTTTCAATAATAAGTTGAGCTCACACTCAGGGGTGTCCAACTGGCCGTAGTACTTTGTTGCGCGTCACGCTTCCTCTTTCAGTAGACCTGTTTGTCTGACACGTAAGTCCTTCGCACTTGGCCCTTTCACACAAGGAGGAACCACGTAGAGGTAGCGGGCTCGTAGGACCTAATTGTGTGCACTACTACGATAGGACTTTCACGTGAGCTCTCAGGTTCAATTACGTTACGTTACCGCTCATAATCTCAAAAGAGAGTCATAGTTACTCCCACCCAAAACATCTTGGCGAGATCCAAGGATCGGTTCCGAGTTGAGGCTAACGACCAGCATACGCGACACTCAGAACGTTAACAAGTCCTTTAATGTTACACGAGCTGGTATTGAGAGATTTATGCTTAATCTAAGCGAGAAATAATACCTGCGAATCCGACGAGCTGATTTCGGAAGGTTTTTCGGTGACACTACTATCGTCCGGATTTTCATCGTACCCTTTCAGACTTTCTTCATCCGAGTGATAGGCGACTGACGCGGGTGACGGTCGAGGTGGTGACTTTCCCAGCATGGCCGGTGGCGGGGGATGATGGGGTGGTTTTCTTGTCGTAGCGTTGCGCTTGCTTATCGTGCCTAAAGAACTTACGTTGCCTCCGTGTCGCGAGCGATACAGTTCCATTGCCACCTCGTGACGTTCGTCAGGGTCCATCGCCAGCGACTCCTCCAGAGTTTTCTTCGCCTCCTCTGGATGTTTTCGGGTTAATTTGGATAACTATCTAAGAGACTGACTTACGTTTGTACTTGTAGCTCTTACTCTTCACGCAGAGCACGGCAATGACGGTTATAATAATAATAATGGAGATCGCCGCCAGCGCCACCATAAACCAGGTTTGTCGATAGAACGGTTTCTGCTGCAAATATCCGTATTCCAAGTAGAGTTTGGACGGTGTCAGAACAGTTTCGTCAGAATACGCCGGATAACTAATGCCGAACTTATTGTACGGTATCAATCGAAAGTTATACGAGGTCGACGGCAGCAGATTTTGATACGAGACCGTGAAATCTTGCAGCTGTCCGTTTTTGGTGTGAATTACCGTTTGCCAGTGATTATCGTCTGAAAGAACGGGGATAATGCCGCCTCATGTTAACCTCTGTGAGCAAATCAAACCTTTTCGCCGGCTCTCGATGAGGTAGCCAATTAGAGGTCCTTTACCGGAAGGTCCGTTAAGCCAGTGAAATTCAACGCTGGAAAGGGTCTTGACCAGTGTTAGTTCTCTAGGCGTCCCTGGCGAGCCTTCTTGTGGACCCGTGGTTACGTTACTGACGACTGGCGGGCCGTAGTCGAGAGTTTGCGCTCTCACTGTAAACGTGTAGGTCACTTCTTCCTCCAAGGATTGCACTTGCAGGACTGTGGTCGAAACCTTTTGCTTAACTTGCTTACTAAACCCTAGAACATAATGCCATACCTCGGATGAGTACATAAACTTCCATTAAGAGTTACTTACGTTCATTTTGCTCCGTAGTCTCGTAGGTGACAATGTAACCGATGATGTCGCCGTTTCGCTTCTTCGGCGCGTCCCACATCACCTTCAAGCTGTTCATTGTGATGTCAGTGAAGCGTAAGTTGACGGGCGCACTCGGCAGACCTTGTAGAGTTTTAACAGTAATCGGCTGCGAGCGAGGCCCGTCGCCGGCGGGATTGAATGCCAAAATTTGAATGCGATACTCAGTGTATTTATCTAAAAAGACTAGACTGTGCGACGTATACGAAGCAGGTACCACCTCGATTTCTTCCTCCAATTTCTTGTCCGGGTCCAACTCTTGCGGCGAATACGTTACGAAGTAGAAGATCTGAAAGCAACCGGTCATCTCCGGGAGTACTAGAAATAAAAGTCCATACCTTATAGCCTAACAGTTCGCCGTTTTGCATATGCTGTTGTGGCGGTTTCCATCTCAGCCGTACTTCAGTGGACGAGACCGCCTCGCCGTCCAACCCTCTCGGTTCTCCCGTAGGAACAGCCTCGCCAACGTAGACAGTGGCGGGGGGACTTGCCGGCCCTTCCCCTTGCGAGTTGAAGGGAACGACAATAATCTCGTAATTTCTATCCTGAAGCAAATCGTTGAGGACGATCTTGCTGGCCTGAAACGTTACGCTGTTTACACCGAAATTTGAAATGAACGTTGTACATTAATCCCCATCACTTCTTCTTTGGGTGTCGCCTGTAAGGCGGTCGGAAAATCGGAAACCGGCTGAAAGATGACCCGATACCCTCCCGTTTTGGTATCGCCGCTCCAGTACTGCTCTTCGATCGGCACCCAGTAGACTTCCACGCTGGTGGTCGTAATTGGAACGACGCGCACATCGGAAATGGCACGACTTGGTGCTAGAATCACGTGAGATTTAGCGCGAAAATTTCGTTTAGAAGTTTTATTACCCGCTGGAAATGTTCGCACGTCTATCGATTCGGGACTGAAGCGGCTAGGACCGATGTCATTTGTCGCTTGTATTCGGAATTTGTACGAGGTGAAGGGTTTGAGATTGGAAACCGTGTAGGAAGTCACCTGGGGATCCACCCTTTCCGGTACCGTCTGCCAGGTGCCAGGATGCTCCATCTTCTCAACAGTGTAGTATCTGAAGTGAGCATTCAATTTTGGTTGTTAGGATTTCGTCCAAACAAATATTTTTTTACAGTGTATAATTGTTGTAACTTTCCTTTGTTATCGTGAGTATGTAATTTACCTTGCATTTCGTTGCTGTAGATGATTTATTTAATGTATTTGTGTGGCCTATGCCGGGGTTTTTGTCCCGTAGAAGGTTTCCTCGATATGGTCTTGTCGTGTGCGTAATATATTTATTTATTCTTGTCATTTCTTACGCACAAAAGTTCTGTCTTTTATTTAATTCCCTTCCCGATTATGTCTCACGTCCCAACACATACAACAACCGATTACACAACGTAGGAGTTCATTCGTGCCACCCATATCGAGCCGACTGCCTTCCAAATTCAAAAGTGCCGCGAACGCGGGTTACCTTTGATTTCTTTTCGGGTTTTAATTGTTAGTAGGTACCAGTTTAAAGGAACAGTTCAAATTTAAATTTTAGATACCAGTTTAAATCCCGGATACGTTTTACTGCACCTACAATTCTTGGTCGACATATGAGTGGTAACCTTGGATTAAGCCCACAATTACCTGCGAGTACTGACAAATTTGAAGTATCTTTCACCCTCAAGTCACAAGCGGACATTTTTGCCGTGAAATGGGTCAACGTGTCACGAAAGAGATCTAATATCAAGATTCGATCGTCAGCAAAGGAACAACTTCCCGGACTCCAGCGTCTTAGTTAATAACTATTTTGCCCCTTCAGGGCTATGACATTCAATTAATTTGTAAACTTTAGATCTTCGCCATCTCGGTTAAGTTATGATCGAGTTTGGTGTATGTATGTTGTCGAAGATCCCCACTTCCTTCTGAAGAGGTTGGTTATTTAAGTACTTTACCTGGTATAGAACCACATTACGAGTAGGGCGAGGACCTTCAGGCATTAATCGGCTAATTATATACAGCGCCCTGCGACTTGGGAGGTTTTCTTTTGATTGATTAATATATTAAATATATAAATATAATAAATTGGCATCCTAAAAATATTAGGGCACAACGTGTGATATAATTGGTAATCATTAATTAGGCGACTCGCATTAAGCTGGTTGGTTGAAATTCTAGCCAATGGTGTAATTGAAAAACATACAGTTGTTGCTAGGAAACGCCTGCGCGTTTATTATGCTTCAGCTTATGCGATGCGGGTCACCTGCACCTAGGTAAGTTAGATTTCAAAAGTCAGATCATAAACATCAAGAAATAGCTACAGGGAGCAAAAAATGAAGTTTGGCGATGATCCTCCTATGAATAAGTAAACAAATGAGTGCTTCTGCCAAGAAGTGGCCAACTTATGAGACGCTGTTTGTTCCAAAATGAAACAGGTGCATGGTAAGTTAAAATAGAAAAAAAAATTACACCGCTGCCAAATAAACTCCCCCGACATAGAAAAAAAATCACACACCGCCGTGGAATTACTGCACTCAGCTAAAAATGTACTCCCCGCTGCAGCGAAGTGTCGAAGCGTAGCTTATCTAGTCGCCGCCTGGTGGCGCGCCAACCCATTACGCAAGTGTATAAACCATCAGCGTGGTAATGGTAATGGTCCAGGTCGACCATGTTTTTTCCAATTTGAGTTGGTTGGTGTAACCAAAATAGTACATGGTTACAATAATGCTATCACAATTGTGTTAAGAAAGATAAATTCATCACCTTGGTTTCTAGGGTAATTTCCACCAATCCCGTGTATTGGGACAAAACATGGCGGATCTCCCAACTACCAATAAAAAATAACGCCACCGGTATGACAACACTGTCTCTATAGAGTCACTATACAGGGTGGTGACTTGCGTAACGTATCATAGGGATTTCAATGTAAAATTCATAACAGGCGATTATGGTCTCCCCAAATTATTTTACAGCAAAAATTTATTAAGGTTTTTTGTATAAAAAATTTTTTTACGCCAATCAACCGTATTAGTGTTCAATTTTTTTCATATAAAGACGGAATATTGAAAAAATAAAACCCGCATCTTTTTCAATAATCTGCGATGCCATGGCATTTTCTAAAACAAAAAGATATCCAGTTATCAATTCGCAGCAGTTCGAAATAGATTTTATGATCGACTTAGTTACTCTATTGCAGTTAATGGTGACTTATTCGAACATTTATCGTAAATTGTTATATTAGGAAACCGTTTTTAGTAATTTGGTCTTTCTTTATGTTGAATTCGCTGTTCTAAATATAATACTTTTTGATAGAATTTCATTTGTTTTATACCAGACATTCCATGGCATGACGGATATTGGCGTAGTTTTTGTTAAAGTCACTAGATATAGAAAGTACCGCAATCATCCGCCATTTTTGGGTAAATTTGCTGCCAACTGAAAAAAATTGACAAATAAAATCTGAATAGCTGTCATTTTTTACAACCTAACTTCATAGTACTGTCATGTTTTATAAAAATATATACAGATATCTCTAAACAGGTGGAACAATCCCTAACATTAAAGTTACTAGTATCTGGTAACTTCCGCCATTTTTGGTCAAAAATCATGCGTTCTCTCTCTAACACACGAGCCCAATGGATTGCGGTACTTTCTATATTTAGTGACTTTAGTTTTTGTATTAGGAAATTCCATGGCATCACAGATTATTGAAAAAGATGGGGGTTTTATTTTTGCAATTTTCCTTCTTTATTATGCAAAAAATTGAAAACTAATACGGTTGATTGACGTAAAAAAATTTGTTATACAAAAAACCTTAATACATTTTTGCTCTAAAATAATTTGGGGAGCCAATATTCGCATGTGATGAATTTTACATTGAAATCTCTATGATGCGTTACGCAAGTCACCACCCTGTATAATGTAAATGCCGGAGATTGAATTGGCAGGGAGTCCGTTCATGGTCCATTGGCGGTTTATTAAAAATACATCATATCAGATGCAAATTTTGAATTGTCACGAAATTCGAATCGAAATCAACAAGAGAGGACAAACCGTCAAACACAAAAAGACAACCGCCCTGGGGCGTGAACTTACCTGTTGCATAAGGCAAGGGGGCACGAGGGGTGCATCAAGCACGGCCGGACAAAGGGAAGGTATTCGACGACTTGTATTAATGCACTTAACGACTCAACATGAAAGCAATCCGATCCGCATAGCGCCAAAGATTGTCGTTGGTGCGTCATCGGGCGGCAACTAGATGAACTACGCTTCGATACCGCGCTATCGTGGCGAGTAAATTTTCAACTGGGGGAAGTAATTCCGTAGCGGTGTGATTTTTCGGAGGGAGTATATTTTGGGGGAGTTTATTTGACAGCGGTGTAAGTTTTTTTCTTATTTTAACTTATCCTGCACTTGTTTAATTTTGGAACAAACGGCGCTTCATACCAGCCTATTGTTGGAGGAACTTTTTAATTCACATTCGTTTGGTAATCATCAATAAAAACAACGTGTAGACTCCTAATACCTGTAAAAGTCCATTTTTGGATTAAGGTTCCTTAAGATCCTCAATACTTTCTCCCCTGTAATTCTCAAGGATGAAATTTAGGCCGGAAAAAATGTTATTCTTATCATTTTCAAGGGCGGAACCTGTGTACGTGACAATTGAGCGTCTTCACGTTGTTCCGTCGCGATATCAGTATTAGTGATGATAAGATAAAAGACGCTAATACATAGCTGCAAAGTCTGTAGAAGAAAGACCAACGGCCTATTTCAAAGGCAATCTGAATTTAAATGCGTAAAAAATTGATCTAAAAGTTTAATCAGACAATCTGATAACGGGTTAGACCCAGAAAAACAAAAAGTAAGTACAAACCGTAATGGAGCAAATCCATCGCGTCCCGGAGTCCAACTGAAAGTAATTTGTTTGCTTTGAACCTGGCTTTGGCTGATCTGCGGCATTGAAGGGGGTTGCGGCGGCTCTCTATTGTTGGTCGTAAACACTAAAACGTGCGCTGTTTTGCCCCACCCTAATCTAGTCTGCGCCGTAATGGAAAACAGGTAATACTTTTCGGATTCTAACTGCGTAGCCCTAGAATGAAAGGCTCAGATTGATACCACCAATAGCAAGTGTGTCTTACGTAAACGTTCTCGTTGACGGAAGAAACTCCTTCGAATAGCGCTTAATATTCGTCCGAGTGTCGTTAATTTGATAGGAGATTTTGTACGCCAAAATTTCCCCGTTGGGTTCTTCGGGCACGTCCCAAATAATTCTCGCCGCCGAGAATGAGACGTCTGGAAAGGACACATTGGACGGTTCTCCGGGTGCTACAAAACGTCATTTAGGCCGTTATGCGGACGCTTTCGACTACCTACTGTCTTCGAAGGTTTGAACACTTATCGGCGGAATACTCGGCAAGCCGTCTCCTAGCCGCGTGTAGGCCAAAACTTGAATGTGGTAGATGACAAACTTTCGCAGCTCGGTCAGCGTGGCCGTGAAGGAGGAGTTGCTGGGTATTACTTTGCATTCGGGAGCCGAACGCGTGATGGCGGTGCCCGTGCCGTAACAAACCTTAAAGCCCTCGATCAAGCCGTTCTGGTGCTCTTTGGGAACGTCGCCCCATTTTACTACAATTGTCGTCGATGATGTCGCGTTCGCGCGCACGTTCAGTGGTCCAACGGAAGGTACTGGAATTACAATGTTCTAATCTGTTCACGATCAATGGATAATCGATTGATTATTTTTGCAGAATCGTTTAACCAAAATAATCGATGCTTTAATTATAATTCACAATAATCGATTGATTATTTACTCAATAACCGGTTATTCAAGCATTGATTAGTTGATTAATAAATTATCAGAGTACTTGATGAAAATAATCGAATCTGATTATCTAATAATAAATAATCATAGGCAATATGACATCATCGATTAATCAAAATAAGTGGATATTTGATCGATTTGATCATTTATTGTCCCTGATTATTTGATAATCGATAATCAACCTAGCCAACTAATCAAAATAATCGATTACTCCTAATACATACCGGCCTCTCGAGTTCTTTCCAAAGCTTTCAGGCTCACGGGAGAGCTTCCGACATCGTTATAAGCTTGAGTGGTAACTTCGTACAGTGTGTACTCCTCCAAGCCAGATATAATGTGCGAATTGGCGGTGGGATCGTCGATAGTTTCGCTCCGCATTTTTCCGCTCGAAACTTCAACGTAGCAGATATTGTACCCCCTCGGATTTCCGAACCATTCCATTTGTTGAAGTGGCTACAAAACGGCAAGTAGTTATCGACGCAAAGTGAGGTACAAGTACAACTCACGATCCATCTAACTCGCAGCTCCGTCGCGCTCATCGCTCGGACAGTAACATTCTTCGGCGGGTGTAACGGAGACGCTTGGATCGTTTGAAACTCTTTGCTCGGCTCGGACGGTTGCGACGTTCCGACGACGTTATTGGCGATTAGGCGCAACTTGTACAAGGAGAACGGGACGAGATTTCGAACGGTTATCGTGGTCGCGTCGGGATCGGACACTTCGTAGATGACGAACCATGTCATGTTTCGTGGATTTTGAGCCTCCACTGTCCACTTGGTAATCGACGAATTTCCGTCGAAACCGGGCGTGAATTGCAACACGACCGAAAATGCTTGAATATTGCTCAAGGCCAACTTGGAGGGGGGACTGGGAAGAACGGGTTCAACTCCCGACTGTATGACCGCAATTTTCGGCGGACCAGAACCGGTAGCGGTCCACGCAGTCACCTCGAAACGGTAGTGAGTGGTGGCTTGCAAATGGTCAATTTCTATACTTGTTCGGTCCGCCGTCAAATTGTGAACCTTTAAAGTGTCCGGTTTATCTTTAATTTGGTAAGCCACCTGATAACCCTTAAGAATTCCGTTTATCTGTTTGGGAGATTGCCACATGACCGTTACGGAACGATCGCTTACTTCGTCGAATTGCAGATTCGAAACCTCCCCAGGAACTGCAAGACATAAATAGGTCGACTCACAAAAACAAAAATCAACTTACCATCTTCTAAAGTTTTGATCGGCACAAAATCGCTAATTTCGCCGTCGCCTGGATTCGTAAAGCATAACACTGTGATGTTGTATTCGGTAAACTTTTCCAAACCGTCAATGACGGTGGTTTGCTTGGCGAGAGGGTCGAGAAGATTGGGATGAACTGTGATCATCTTCGTTTCCGCGTTTCGATCTTCCAACAGGTCGTACCTCCACGACTGCAATTTGTACCCTTGGTTGATTCCGTTGATCTTTTGGGGATCTGGCGGTATCCACCACACCTGCACGGCGGTCGAGGTAACCGCTTCAACTTTCTCAATTATAGGCGGCGATTCTGGAACGCCTTCTTTCGTTTTTATTTTGGACCCGTCCGTAAATACACCGACGCCTTTGTTGTTATACGCCGCTATTTGCACAACGTAATCCTTCCATGTGATTAAATCGGTGATGAGGTAGTTTCTTTGCGCCTCATTGGTTATGTTCCTAATATTCCAAGGGCTTTCGTTGTACCCGAATAGTCGGTATCGTATTATGTAGCCGAGGATTTGTCCGTTACGGTGTTCTTCTAATGGCGGCTGCCACTGCGTGATAATTTCGGATGAGCTTCGTGCTGAGCCAACAAATCCGAGAGGCGGACCAGAGGGCGCTAGTGAAAAAAATTGGTGTAACAATACCAGAAATGTTTACAACTCGAAATTTCTCATTCCCAGATCAGAACCAGACTACACACAAGCACCATTGCGAACGATTGCCTTGGCCTTGCCACATACAAACAAATTATGTTCGCACCCCACTACCACATTTTGTTAAACCGTTGCGTGAGAATTAGTAAGGAGGCGCAACTATAATGTAAAATTGCGATACATATTCCGCCGAAGCTTCCTGCACCTCGCCGTCTACAGGGGGAGGGGCGTGACTGAGTGCTTAAACGTCACCCAACAACACGAACGCTACTACAACTGCGGAAATCGATTACAAAACATCTCAGTGTCTTTTAACAAGTGATGTATCTATTTGTCGGTGCCTGAATAAGCCTCATCTAAATTAATCAAGTTGCACCTCTTTATATTTCTCACTCAACGTAATACGCATAACAAACTGCTACGCCAAAAATAATTTTTTATTTTGAAATTGGAACGCTTAAGATTATTTTCTGTATTAATTGCTCCGAAACCCGTGCGGTAGAGGCACCCAACGGACGCGTCCCCGGATGGCCGATAAAGGAACGCCGACACAGACACCTCACCAGGTGAGACCGCATTTCCGCAATACTCGTGGGAATTGTATGCACGATAATCTTAACACACCTTCCTCGTCAGGGGGGGGGGCCTCAAATAAAGGGGTCCGGTAACAGGTCAGGCTCCTCGAAAGAGAAGACGACTCCAACACAGGGCCGTATTCAAGGACTAGCTCCTATTCGCAAGAAGAATAGGACTGGCGATGGGCACGAAGGTGGAGCAAGCGGGACCTTCGCCAAAGCTTAAGGCTGTGTCTAGGTCATTGGCTCAGGAGGGCCACCCGACGTCAGGGACCAAGCGTCTCAGATCGGAGGGAAGCACTCCAGGGTCTGGCTGAGGGTAGCCTGAGAAGAAGTCCAGAGGTTCTGGAGCACCCAAAGTTGCAGATGCACCACGAAAGGTATGAGAAAATCGCTGCGACGGAGCTCAGGGTAGCCATTGTTCCGGCGTCACATCCAGAGGTGCCCCGTAGGGTCTTCCTCGCATTTGGTGTCGATGAGTCACCCTTCAAGCCCACGCTGGGGTCTCGCCCGTCGTTTGTGACGAATGCGAGTGCTCCGGAGGCGTTAGGTAGGGAAAAGGGCTCCCCCGGAGCAGCGGGACCCAGTGTCGTTGCGACGAACAGGACTCAATCCCTCCTTATCGAGCTTGAAGGAGCATCAGTGGCGCCTCAGAGGCTGAGAAAGAGATTTTGGCTTGAACCGTTGGCATCACTAGGGGAGGAGTGAACCTACTGCATCCGTGATGGACCCGGTAACCTTCTCACAGAGCAATTTGTAGCACAGTAGGAGGGCGACCTGTTTAATAAAGCCGTCAACTTGATGTAAAGCAGAGAGCCCTAAGAGATCTGGGCCAGGTGGAGGACTATCTTTATTATTAGTCTAGGAGCTAGCCCATGACACGTGCGCAGTTGTACGTCCCCAAGTTTGGTTGCGCATCTATGGGAGTATTAAAAAAATTTGGTCACATAGTCCAAATCATGGTCGTTTGGTCGCCATATTTAAAAATGTCCCCCACGTGGCTAGATTTTTTGTTTAAGTATATATCCTCACATGTACAATGGTTCAATTTAAATTGTTTAAAGAAAGTTTTACCGATTTTTTTGCAGGTAAACAAGATTTGTAATTAGTAAATCCAAGTTTTTAAGATACATTACGTATGTTAATCCACTTGGCGAAGACTTTTAGATTAACCATTATTGTTATAATTAATTTCATTAAATTACCCCGTAATCTTATTTGTACCTGTAAGGTAGAAACTCATCTATGCCGTTTTCAATTGATAAGATGGCCGGAAGACCTCTCCAAATGAATCTCACTTGCGCAATATTGAGAAAATCGTAAATTCGGTGGTTTTATACTCAGGAATATGTAGAAAGCACAATCCAGTAGGTAATAATGAAGATAAAAGTAAGCAGGAAGTAAGAAGCCTAAAAATGATTATTCAAAGTCAAAAGGTAAATGAATAGTTTTTGTTAACATACCGAAAACGGCATTAGAACTTGTAAAATAGTCCTGCAAATGCGTCATGGAAGTGTCGAAAGCAAAATAACAAGACACTAAACTTATATAGCATCAATAAAAATTCCAAAAAGACTGACAAAAATTGTCGATTAACTGTAATGGCGTGTATTCCTCTGAAAATAATGCTCGAATCTTGTCTTTGAAAAAGAAGTACGTGCGCCGAAAAAAATTAAAGAAAACTCTGCACAACCTCCGTCGGCAAAAACAAAAACTATTCGAATGAGACATATACTAAGATAATAACAAATTTACTACAGGAGCAATTTACATCTGGTGGATTAGAAAGAAGAAATCCAAAAAGAACGTAACACAATCTTCACATCAAATGAAGCTATTTGTAATGCTATATAAATTGAATTATATTCTACAACCGTGTAAAAAACTTAATCCGTTGGACTATGGAGATTTTCCTAAGCCCTGTTCCTGTAAAAATGCCTATGGCGTAAATAAAGTTATTATTATTAAAAGGTTGGAAATAATGTGTTGTGACTTTTGTAAACGTAAAGGCAGTATTTTGTACCAATGCAACTCTAATACATAACTAAATTTAAAGAAGTAGTAATACATTTTCATGTTGTTTGCCTTCAAAAAATCAGTAAAAAAGAGAAGCGCTCCTCAAAGGTTTTATTATTATAAAATTATACCATTGATTATACAGAGTGGCTAATAAAGATGAGTCTCTGTATATGATTATACCTGATATACTTGGTACGTTCGATTTCTTTTCTTTATCAAAATTCGATCGCTACAGGATAATGGTCCTTTTAAAAATTATAAAATTATTTGTCGTCAATGACACAAGAACGGTTAACAAATCTTGCATTATAGCAATTTAGTGAGCAATATGGAAGTGGTTCAAGTCAGTGTTAAAGCAAGGAAATTTTAGTTTTGTGCTTTTTCTATTTTTGCATATTATACTTAATATCTAGGTACCTTTTTTGTGAATGAAATGTTTATTTATTGTTAGTGCATTACTTTTTAAATTATAGCATAAAATAAAGCATTATTAGTTAACTTGATTATTCTATAAAGTTGGAAAAAGGGGCGGCAATTTCATTTTGTCGCCAAAATGGTACATTTTTTAAATAGAACCCCCTATATTTGAATGCATTTTTGAATTCTACGTGTACGTCTTTTTTTATTATATGGTCCGAAAAGCTAGTAATTTTAAAGATAATTCGATTTGTAAGAAAAATTGGTCATTTGCAAGCGTCAGTATATTGTCAAAATTATTACTTAAATTTTGATTCCAGAGGTTTTATATCTTTTATCCTGAGTTAAGTAAATGTCAAATAAATACATCTACTATGAAACATTAAAAAATAGCTTACAGGGTGTTTTTTTGGTAGGTCCAAAGTTGCAAAACTTCATATTAAAAATCTCACTTTTTTAAATGGAACACCCTGTATATTTTTCTGCCATCTTTTAGCTCCTCCAAAAACCTTCAACTTTTGATAATAATGTCCTATACCTATCTCTGATAGTTTTCGAAATATCTTGGTTTTCCTGGTTTTTATATTCTAATCTACAATTACACGTAGAATTCAAAAATGCATTCAAATACAGGGGGTTCTATTTTAAAAAATGTACCATTTTGGCGCCCTACTTTGTGGGCGCACCCTGTATAATTCCAAATATTTTTAAAATATGGAGAATATTCCACCATATCATAATACAAAAGCACTCTATCAAAAAATCTTATCTTCAAGGCATTAAGTTACTCCGGGCAATCGTTGAATCACCCTGTACAGTGTACTTGTATGGTGGCCTGCCATACCCAGGGCAATCTACAGGAAGAAGCTAGGTAAGGTACAGAGACTCGCCTGTCTGGGATTCAGTGGAGCCATGAAGAGGCTTAAGGCTGCTGTAATAAAACACATACGGGGTGTAAATTTTAAAACTTGCAGTCGGCCATATTTTCCAAACAAAAGAAGATATTGAAAATCGCGAAAAACCGGTTCGGGGGTATCGAGGGGAAACCAGAATGGCGTTATGAGTGACAACCGCCCACCCCCCTTGGTCATCGTCGTTGCTTACAAAATCAAAATTTGCCGCCCCTACTAAATTGGCGCCCGGGACGGACCGCGCCTCCGCTCCCCCCTATACGCTACGCTACGTCAATGGTCTGAGAGATCTAAAGAATATTCTAAATATGTACTCTCAAATCTATCAATCTTCTAAAGAATAATTATCAACGGTGCATTTAATACAGAAAATAATTTGGTATTAAGCATTACCCTCTTTTCTGCAATAAATTAATTTATCATTGTAAGGCCAAATACATTATAGGCATTTGTGGTGAGAATTCGAGGAGGGAGAGGGTCAGTTTAGTGTCAAGCTGTGGGGTGGAGGCGTTAGGTTAACAAACACACAAAGAACGCGACACGACATGCCAACAGAGTTCAAACAATGCCCACCTTTAAATATAAAATGTAAGCTTCCTGTATAATAAATACAAATATTCAAAACAATTTACTGTTCCAAAGTTGTACGAATTCTAAACTCACCTTCTTGCGGCAACATAACTTGATTGCTCGGTTCGGAGGGGCTACCCTCGCCCACGCTGTTCACGGCGCTGACGCGAAACTGATAAGCGGCGGCCGCCTTGAGATTGGTCAGCAGGATCCATCTTTGCGTCGCGGAGATGTTGCTCAATTCGGTCACCCAGTTGAGCAGCGGATCCGGAATCGGACCTGGAATTGGGGGGACTACATGGAGAAAGTAAAACACTGTTCCGGTTTAATTGTTGTTAATCGATTGGAGTAGTTATTCGATGATGAGCATGCACAAACGTTTTTCGTATTTACACTTATGTTAGATTAAGGTATCGTTAGTTCGGAATGCGTATTTGCATTACTGAAATACGATCAGTAGTTAAAGAACCACCTACGCCATAGAACTAGGGTTGTTTGGCAGATTAAACAAATCTGTTTTTGTTTGTATGAAACGGACCCGGTAACTGTGTGGCATAGATGGCGTTTAACTAGAGGGGCGGCCTTTTCTTGGTGTTAATGAACATTTCCCAAAGCACCATATACATAGAAAAAAAATTATTGAACATGCTCATGCACAACGCACCATCTTTGTGTTTAACAATCAGAAACAAACACAAAAATAGCGCGAATTACAAATTTATTGGGCAAACCTAATTCGGGTAACTCCCTCTTCTGTACTATGTACTTCAAAACCGGACTGTTACCGTCAAAGCCCGGAGTCCAACTAACATTGACGGCTCTTTGAGTAGCAGTGTCCAGTTTGGTGGCCTTCACGTTGATCGGAGCGAACGGCAGTTCGATAACGCTCAACCGGGCCGATCTCGTTTCGTTGCCGCCAGGCGACTTCACCGAGCAGGTGTAGATACCGACATCCGCAGCCCTTACCGCTTGGATCTCCAAAGTGCCGTCGAACAGTACGTTGAAGCGCTGATTCGTGCCCGGTTGAATTACCCTGAAAGTGGGCGGTTTACGAAGGGAACTCCGTGCGGGGCAGCTTACTGTTTGTCGTGAAACCAATCCAACTGATAGGGCACACTTGGATCCGAAGAAACTTTACATTGTAAGGTGACTGTGTGTCCTAAGAGTACTCGGGTATCGACCGGTGGCTGGATTATCTGCGTCCTCACTGTCAAGTATAATTAAGTGTAAGAAAATACAAATGAGAGTAGGGCTTAAAACAAGGAGGCATTCAACATAAAGCGCGGTAAAATCTGTTGCACGTCATTAACGTACATGACGATTTATTGTACACGCTTCGCTAAGTGCGATAACATGAGAAGAGACCGAAGAGACTCACTTGTTACCACGCCCACCGGACTACAATAGAATGGTTGAGCGGGCAGGTACAGCGAGTAGCACTTTGGGAAAGGGAGTGACTTCGGTTTCTCTACAACCTTTCCAAACCTGTAAAGACAAAAGTTTGGATATTGGAACTCAAGGATTAGTGGAGTGGAGAGTAGTGGATTGGGAGGAGGATCCTAAAAGGTAGCAGTCCTGATTGACCAGACTTCCTGGAGGTCATTTGAACTTCACGGTGATCTTGAACTCCATAGGGAAACCGAAGGCTCCACCAAGGGTGAGGAAATGAAAGTGAAGCAAATGTAACAGTATTTCTGTTCAGGGTATTTAAAGTTCATTTGTACGTAATTAAAATGTTAAGTCTAGATATAATCATGACTGCCAAGAACGAATGCCGATGAATGAGATTATTGTATCTAAAAGAATTTATTTATTTCAGTTCATTGTATCCCAATGTGTATTTTAAATATGGCCGCTATGAATCAGAAAGGAAATTAAATGTAAGTAATAATCGCGGCGTAAATAGAATTGCGTTCAGCGTATGTAAAAACATATAAAATCGAGTATTAACGCTAAGGTCCAAGTCCGAGTCATTGTAAATAATTCATTTAGAGCTAGTAGAATGACTTAAATCCGTCTGTTCGCTACCGCTGTCAAATTGGCAAAAGCTTTAATCACGGGCGATCAGTCTATATAAACGTAAGTGGGTTGTGTGGGTAAAGTAGAAATGAAGCCACGGCATAAACACTACGAGAGTATAAATACGGAAATTTCCAACACCAAAGAAGCACTCGCCCGCCGTCTTTTCACGGAGCAACAACTGTGCCAGTCGCGCCCGCAAATTATAAGCGCGTTTTCTTGTAATAGAGAGTTGAGGCGACTTTTTTAAGAAAATCAAGAGAAAGAACCGAGTGAAAATATCTCCATCCAGCCACAATATCGAAGGAGAAGACGTTCCTTCACGGCACTCCGGAGAAAATTAGGAGGTTTGCGGGATTTCCGAAGAACAGTTCCATTTTCTGTTCTACGCGCGGTCCGTGCACAGTCTACTTGGAGGGTATCGAAAAAGTCGCGTTGAAACCTGCCTGCCTGTGATTGGCCGAACCGAAACTCTAATAGCAGCTTGCAGTGGGCGGTCCTGAGTTCATTGGATTTCAACATCGATCGAAGCGAGACCAAGACGGCACTCCGAATCCTAGTGCACATAAATAATAGATGTTCAAACCAATAAACATTATCGCGTCGTAGTTTATCATCTTTGTTGTTCGCCCCGTCGTAGACGATTGCATTGTAGTTTGAATTTGTGCTATTGTAAAGGGGATCTAATCATCTACATCCATTCAAATAAGTGCTTGTGAGCACTGTTTGCTTTCATTTTAACGATCGAGCCTGGAGGCGTTACTACACGCATGTTGTACAGCAGTTTGTATACTAATATACTAATTTATGAAACAAAAATTAAGTTTCTTTCTGTACTCGGCGGTTTGAGAGTAAATATTTTGATTTTTGACTAACGTAATAAAGACAGATTTTCCTTTCTATGCAGTGAATTTTTGTGAATGACTGAGTTAACCCTACTTTTACAGGAACGTACCGCCTCAATCCTCATTTCTTTCGACGTGTATTATTTACAGCAAAAAGGCGAATTTCTAAGAGAAAAAGAACGTCCGCCCACTATAAAATAAAGGCAATAAAATAAAAAAAAACAAAAAAAAACGTAATAGGTTTTAATAAAGACTTGATTTTTATTCATTTATCCTTTCCCATTTCCTTGAGGCCAGAAAAGGATCATCGACTGAAGCTAGCCGGCGCCCAACAACAATTATTTTATGCAAGAAGAACCGCCCCTAAATAAAACAGTTTGAGAAAGAAATGGTAGGAAAGTTGAAGTTGAAAAGTAAAAACAAAGTCTCCACAACCTGAAACTAGCTGTGGCCAAGATAGTTCAGATTAACTTGCTCCAAAACTGGCACAGTAGCTCTAAGTGCATACATGATTAAAAAAAACAAAATCTTGGAGTGGTCCAAGAACCCTGGATACACAAAAACGAGGTCTAAGTGCCGAGGGATGAGTATGAGCAAGACCAACCGAGTTTTACCCCAGTCCCACCAAGGAATTTAAACAATTAAGTGGACCATAAGCAATCATCGGATGCGATGTAAAAACTCACCACGTTGTTCCGCTATTTTGTTACAATATGGCAAAATTGGCCGATTCACGAACTTAACCGAGATATTTATGAGTTACACCAACCCTAAAAGCTCGCTTTATGCATGCGTTTTTTGTACCAATTGTTTCATATGTACCGCGCATGCGACAAAAAAAACGTGCATAAAAACGTCCTAACAAAATAATTTGTGAAGAAAACGCGGCGTTCTCGATGCATAAAAGTAGACTTAAAGATTGGTCGAAATCGGTTCATAATTAAGAAAGTTAAGAGTGTTTCTTGGAAGTGATATCTACAGGGTGCGGCAGAATGGACTCACACATTTCATTAGCTTAGTGCGTCGCTGGTGGGAGACGGAGAGTGGTGAGAGGCGTCGACGCTGAGGTTCGTTAGTCGACACTACGTTTGATCTGGTCAGCAACATGGATAGGTACGTCATAGAACGACTCGCTTTAAAAATAGCGAATCTGTGACCGCAACACAAAGAACTTTTTCGTACCCACTTTCGCTTGCGATTTTAAAATGGGTTTCTAACTTGAGGGCAACTGGATCAGCATTAGCTGGCCATACACCGAGAGGTTGATCCGCCGGTTTGAACTGCGACATGTAAATATGGCAGTTTGATGACAATCCGGTCCTGGTTAAATCTGTACGTTTGAACCGCGCCATATTCCAAAACCGGCGGATCAACCTCTCTGCATATGGCCAGCTATTGCCGAAAAGATCAATGGGCCGAGTACATAGGAGCATTGGGCACCAGAAAACATCATCGCTCCCGTCAGAGCTTCCAAGCCGTTCCGCCAGGTTGCTAGTGCTGGACATCACCTAGAGAGGATATAATTGTTGCAACCTATTTATTTATTAGGTCTATCTTTTACTGTAAGTACTTTTTTGATATATTTTAAAATGTGAGAGTTCATTCTGCCGCACCCTTTATAAACCTATAAATATACTGGTACCATTACAATAGGTAGATAAGATCAGGGGCGGACTGGCCCGGGGGGGCGGGTGGCGGTTGCCACCTGGCCCGGGGGGGCGGGGGGCGGTTGCCACCTGGCCTGTAGATCATAATGGCCCGTTGGAAATTTATAAGTATGTGCTGTATTTAGTTTCTTGCACTATTAATAAATTATTAACACGTTTCTCTAATTGGGGTTGATATTAGGTTGTTAAAAATCTGTTTTAATTGAAGTGTTTTACAATGAATTTATCATTTTTTGTCGTAGCATGAAAGCGCTGAAATACAATGATAGGCGACGCACCTCGTGTGGATTGTATATTTTGTTACTTTTAATTATCAGCTGCAATTTGAAAAAAAACTGTATGGTAATTTTCTATAAGAAAACTTATTTTCCGGATTGATCTGAGATAATTTTTTCTTCGGGGCTCAAAAAAATCGACTACACCAAAAATTCTCGGGAAAACACTTTTTCTTATTAATTTGGGTGCGTAGAATCCAAATCAATTCGTACTTTTTCGATCAGACTTCTCAATCAAAAGTTATAGACTAGAAACCAATTTCGAAAAAATTCAAAGGGCTGTAACTTTTGAACTAGTAGCCCAATCTTGGAACTGTTTGAAATTATGGATTCTACAGGCCACATTCTGTAAGAACATTTTTTTCCGGGTCGATCTGAGACAATTTTTTCTTTGGGGCTCAAAAAAAGGCAGTGTATTACCTTCCTTTTTTACCAAAAATCGACTACACCAAAATTTCTCGGGAAAACACTTCTTCTTATTAATTTGGGTGCGTAGAATCCAAATCAATTCGTACTTTTTCGATCAGACAATCAAAAGTTATAGACTAGAAACCTTCTACAGGCCACATTCTGTGAGAAAATTTTTTTTTCCGGGTCGATCTGAGACAATTTTTTTTCGGGGCTCAAAATTATTAACACGTTTCTCTAATTGGGGTTGATGTTAGGTTGTTAAAAAATTCTATTTTACAATGAATTTATCATTTTTTTGTCGTACATGAAAGTGCTGAAATACAATGATAGGCGACGCACCTCGTATGGATTGTATATTTTGTTACTTTTAATTAAAAAAAAACTGTATGGTAATTGATTTTCGAGAAAGGAGCACTGTTTTTGTGGTGCACCTCAGAGCTACACCCCCCCCCCCCAGACAGTAGAAGGGATGCACTTCGGCGGCCATCTTGAATTAAATTAATTGGCGGGGTCAACTGAGGTTAATTAAATTGATTAGCGGTTTCACTCACGAAACGATGTTTTCAACTTGTGTTGATTATTTCTAGGAATTGTCAATAATTGCGGAATCGCCTTAGACAAGGACAGGACATGCACCATTCTCAATGAGATGTCTAAAGTACACCTCATGGAAATGATTCCTGACAGAAAAAGGAAAAGGTATCTCAGAACTATACCGGTTCTTTTATTATATAGGTGAGGGAGTAGGGATCAAAATTTCGATAGTTGACGTCACCTCTTCTGCGCTTTCATGAATATAACTATTAAAAACATGGCAGACTTAGTTATTACACGTGATATTAAAAGGAGGCAGTACTTATATAGTAAAAATAATAGTGGGAATCAGTTTTGGGGGAGATTTTGAGATTCATTCGGGTTTTTGACTGCCGGGGTAATCGATGTGTGATCTAAAACAGATTCGCGTTTGGAAACCAGTGCGAGACCTTTAATAAAATTTGAACCAGATTCGATTTTGGAATAACCGTCACGGCCAGTGTTTGTGTTTGAAACGTAAAATATAATAACGTGAGTTCCGGTAGTTTTTGTTAAAAAAGATCTAACGTGTTGGTTTTATACACGCAGTAAACATACGGATTATATATTACGAAATCATGAAAATTAAAAGGACTAATAGACCGTTAAGCTCGCGTAAGAATTGTTTACGTAGAAAGGTAAAAAAACATGCCGTATTTGATCAAGGATAATTTAATTAGACGCGCTAAAATATTTTGATATTTATTACAAAGAACCATTGTTAAAACTGCTGTGTAAACGTTTTGTAGAAGGGATTGAACTGTGGTTGTTTGTAGTCGTAAACTCATCCTTGCCGCATTAGAAAAAAGTATCTGGAGTCGAGGAATAGATTTTTGCTATTAACGCTTGCGCCTAGATATCGTTAGAGAGTAATTTTAGGAACTCGAAAATCCGTATGATAACTGTCAGGCGGCATTAAAAGCATTAGGAACGCAAGAAGTGAACTCTGGTTTAGTGCTGTAGCGCAATCGAAACCTGCCCCAACTTGCATAAACTAGAACGTGAAACTAAAGTGGGATCATTTCGACTTCTCTCTGAATATCAGCTTTCAATTTTGCTAAAGAACGTGGTTTGGTACTATACACCCGGCCCTAAAAATTCCCAAATCACAAGCGTTCAGATCGGGGGAGCAAGGAGACCAATGCACATCTCTGAATCTAGAAATTGAAAAAAAAGTAAAAATAAAAAATAAATAAAAAAAATTCCCCAATTGCCTTCAGATCGCGCAACACACGGTTAGTTTGGGGAGAGGGAGGGAGTCTTTCATGAAGCTTCTGCTGATTGACAAACCCATGTGAAAACGAGCCTCGTCACTTATGCACAATCAGAACGCACCTTGGCATATTTCAAAAATTCCGGTATACTTCCGTTATAGAATAGCGGAATCGGAAGCGGAAGCGCTATTTTCCGAATTTAAAATAAACACAGTAATCGATGACGTGCAACAAAATTTACATTGAACAAAGTGTACCTACCTAGAACAGTTAAATAAGCAGATCCTCTTACGACGCCGGCTTCGTTAGCACGTATACACGTATACAAGCCGTGGTCAGACTCACGAACGGCAGCGATTAGCAAATCGCCCGTATCGAGAGTTTGCACTCGTCCCGATAGCTCGACTTCGTTTTGCTCTGCAAGCAAATTAGTAGGCAAGCATTGCACAATTTATTAACACATCGATCACGCGACGAACACGATACTCACCGTTGTAGATCCACGTCGAATTTGGTGTCGGAGCTCCGACCGCCCGACAGGAGATCGTGGCATCCTTGCCGTCGAGTACTGTTGAGTTTTGCGGACCGTTTTCCATAATGGGCACCGAGGCTAAAACATAAGTGGTGTCACAAAGCGAAGACCATCTGATAGAGCTCAATTCTTTCCTTTTGTGAGCAAAAAGGAAACAATTGAGAAACGAAACATGCACGCTATTGGTTCTAAACACCGGCCAAAATTCAGACAGAGAAAAGTTCAATTTTTCTGCGCCAAAACTACTACCTAATAAAACAGGCAATGTGCATAATAAACAATTTCAGTAAGGCTACACTAAGCTACACGGTGCCATAATTATCACACATCCTTACAGGTGTAGAACTCAAATTTCTTTTTGTTTCGTTGGTTCGAGACACTTCGCAATTGCACAATTTTAGGTCCGATACTTCTAGTCGCTCTCGCTGCGTGTGAAAGTAATCAGATTTAGCACTCGAACGCGATGAGTTAACATGGCACTCACGCCGCGGATACTTACTTTTCACTTTGAGCCACGTTGACATTGAGCTTTCGCCTGCATCGTTCCGCGCAAAGCACTGGTACATGCCGGAATCTTCCATGATTAGCCTCTTGATAACCAGCGAGTTGTCTTCTTCAATGATATACCTACAAAATCGTCTTTAGCGACGTTTCGACTCAGGACGAACAAACCTGGAGTCGGTTCGTAGTTCCTCGACGTTTCTGTACCACGTTACATTCGGTTTGGGAATCCCGACCGAATCGCAAGGTAAATTAATTCGAGTTCCGTAATCGCCTAAGGTTTCAGTCTTCATATCACTAATAAAGGTGGGTTTCTCTTGAACCGTAACGGTCGCGATGGCCTTTACGGTCGGAAACCCGCCCGTTCTCAGCGAGACCTGGCATTCATACTGGCCAGCGTGCGCCAAACTGATCGAAGCCAAGGTCAAACTCCGATTCCATAAGTCGTTCAAGGTGTGCGCGATACCGGAGCTTTCAATTAAAATTCCGTCTTTAAACCATAGCGTTTCCAGTTCGTGTAACGGCCTTGCGTTTGCGATACAATCCAAAGTCGTCTGACTGGTACCCTTGACAATCTGAACGTCTTGCGGTTTTATTATGATTTCGGGAGCGATCTCGGCGACATCTCTGTCGTTTACCGTCAACTTAATAAAAGCGCTGTACTCCTCCTTGCCCTCTTGAGTGTTAATTGCACGTGCCCTAATTAAAGGCGATGAAAATCGAGTTTGACATAGACCCACTTACCTATAAGACATTTGATCTGACGCATCCGTTGATAAGATTATCAATTGATTTGCCTTGGATTTGGAGTACTTTTGAGCGTAAGGTATCGGTTCATTGTCGGATTGCCACGTCACGTCGGGTTCGGGCGACGACTCTATCTGTGGCAGGTCTAAAATTGCAGCTTGTCCCGTGTCCACTGAAACGTGGATTTCGGTGAGATCTTTGAAAACGTCCATATCTGAAAAAGTGCCATAGAATTGGTAAAATAGAACTGTTCTAAAATGGTCATCGTACCATTAGTACGTTCAATTAATTATACTTACACGCTATAACAACTTTAATTTCTTCACTAACAATGGATCCAACCTTATTGGATACAATACACCTATAACTTCCGCCATCCTCGTGTTTGGCCGAAAAGATTCTATAAAACGACTCGGACGAAAACTCGGTGATCGGCCGATCGTCCTTGAGCCATTTGTACTGAGGCTGCGGGAAACCTGAAAGGAAAATAAAAATGAATAGCGATCGCCGGAAATTGAAGGGGACGTTTCAGTTAAAGCGGGAAGACTTACGAGAACAATGTAAAATAATCCATTTCTCGCTCGCCCGGTAAATGAACGATTATCAAAGACGTTAAATGAATGTCAATCAAGACTTTTCGAGATTGAATGGAATATTGAATCCGTTAATTGAAGCGACGTAGCTGCCTAATTACTATTTTTGATGCAGGCGTCACGTGCAAAATACCTCGTCTCAATTTAGAAATTTTTCATTGGAAATTTTCGATCATTGTTATTTAAAATTTGTACGTTCTTCATCACCTCGCCATCGCAGTTTTTAGTTCAATTTTAAACGCGAGAGTTCGATTCAAAAAATAAAGTTCAAGTTCTAAACAAATTCCGTCCCACAAATGCGAAGTTTGGCATAGCTTAAATACTGTCATAGATTCACCCATTAAAACCTTGAGGGATTCTTTTCGTCCGTCCAGGACTGGTAAACCGCTTTCCCTTTTAGTTCCGTCCACAAAGCCAGTGTGCCCTAAATCCAGACGGCGATGTCCCAATTACTAGATTTGCAGGCCAAAGTCAATGACTTTCACAGAAAGGATGGCGTTTCTATTATTGATAACATAATTGAGACGGGAACGTTCCAGACAAACTTATTCCAACACATACGAAACATAATTTTAAAAAACCCGAAAGTCACGTCACCGATCATTACCATTTTAAGGGAACGTAACGCAAACGCGCTCATCAAATCTGTAATTTTACTTAATTATGGGACTTTAAGAATGCTCTTAAATACTCACTAAACCATAAAGACTAGGCTTTTCAAGATTAATATCCAGTTTAAAGGTTCTAAGGCTGTTAAAGACTCTTTAAGACTAGCTGCCGAAGAACAGGGAATTTACACAACGAAGTTTGGGGGAAAAAGTTAGCGTCGGTTAACGGTATTTGAATCCGATCCGAGTTTGAGTAATGGTGGGTCTATCGTATCTGCTGCGTCTTAGCAATATGAGAAGGGAGTTCTCTAATTAACTTTTTTGCTATTGTCACATGTACTTTTCGTCTTAAATTATGTAGCCATAACGCCAATTTTATATTTTTTATGTACCGGGTGACCCAATAAGACTGTTCCTCGGCCATATCTCGAGAACCGTTCGTCGTATGACTTAGAGGTAAAAAAAATTATTGGGTTAATCGGTTATAAAGAATCGCTGGAAAATATTTTCAAGTTCTAAAAATGACCACCAGAGGGCGTAACTGCCATCTTAAATTTTAAAATTGCATTTTCTTTCAATTTCGCATAATAAACTAAACATTCTTTTTTCACATTTTTAAAGAGAACCAGTTTATCTATCATTTTCGTAAAAACAAAAACTCAGTTATTTCAAAAACAAAGATGGTGTGGGGCGTTCAATTGTTTTTGCAATAACCTTCTTTCCTTCTTAACGGTTTGACCGATTTTAACAAATTTAGTATGGTTGAAAAGAGCATTCCTTGGGCAATGAGAATATAGTTAATTTAGTTGAATCCTTCTCCGCTAAGGGGCTAGTTTTGACACCATGACCCAAAATCCTAAAAAAATTAAATGGAATGATATGACTTTTCTTTATGAAAAAGTAGCCAAATAACATCCAAAGAGGCAAGTGAAAACCGTTTTTCAAAATCTCGCTCCTAAGCTCAAGTATTCGAAAAATGAGATTAATTAATTAATTAATAAAAATGCTTAAATTGTATCTTATTTGAGGTATTTCCGGTATTTGTCAATGGCGCGAAAGATTGTTTGGAAAGGGCCCCTACACTTTTAGATAGGCCTTGGAAAATTAAACAAATGAAACACAATGCATTATAACAAACAACCGGAAATACGTAAATAGTAAATTTAAGAAAAAATTTTAATAAACAAAGAGATACTTCTATGGTATCGGGAGAAATGTTTCAACATAAGTCTTCTGTTGCTACTAGGAGTACATAATCAACGGGGAGGTTTTCTAGTATAGGGGAAATCGCCGTATTTTCGCTTTAATTTTTGAGAGAACATTTGTGTCACTAATATCTACAATATCTGTCGGAAAAAAGTTCATAACTATTCTTTTACTATCAGGAGCACATAATAAACAGGTTTTTTTCTAGTACAGGATTTTATTTTTGATATGTATGAGGAGAATATAATCTGCGAGGAGGATTTTTTGCTCAACACATAATGTGCCGCAAAAATCTTTTAAATTTTCGAGATCATCTGTATCAGGGGGATATAATGCGCGAGGAGACACCATACCGAATTTTAGGCCACCAGAAGTGCATAATAAACGAGAAGGCTTTTTGTGTATCCGGAGAAATGTTTCAATACCATATCTTCGCTTTAACCTACGCGAATACAATGTGTGAGGAGGTATTTCTGCTTCAAATACTTGGAGTATCCGTCGCAAAGATTTGGTAATTTTTTCTTGCTACCAGGAGTAAGTCCATCTCAGTATCGTATTTTTTTTATTTAGAAAATAGTGTCTAGTCCGACAGATGGCATAAGTATGGAAATACCCCCTCACACATTCTATTCTCCTGGTATAAATCTTCGTAATAGTAATAATGCCGTTCTGAAACTTTTTTTTGGATGCCTCCACATTTATATATCGTAAAATGCTTGAAGTCAATGACGTAACCAACGGTGGATTCTAACCCCCACCTCAAAGCAAATTTGTTACTGTGAATTTTAAACATAAATTAAATACATCGCAATTACTTTATGGTAAATTCTCTTTGTCTACCAGGAATTCATAAACGAGGAGATCTTTTTTTTAGTATCCGAAGAAATGTTTAAACACCGCATTTCTATTCCTAATACTTAGAGTATCTGTCGGAAAAGTTTTGTAAGTTCTCTCTCTAGTATCCTAGAGTGTTACGACACCGAGAATATTTTGTATCAGGAGAATATAAAAATCAAGAGGCTATTTCTACTCCTCACACTTGGAGTATCTGTCAGACAAATTTTGTAGATCTTTTCTTCCTACCAGGAGTACATACGTAAACGAAGGGATAAATGTACAACTTTCAGTTGGTACCAGGACTGCATGATAAACGGAGATGTTTAGTATCAGAAAATGTTTCAACTCCGTATCGTTCGAGAACATTTGTATTAGGAGAATATGGAATTTTTCATAAACATTTTGTCAATTTTCTATGGCTACCAGGAGTACATAATGATAAAGGAATGTTTTGATTTGAGAAGTGAAAATCCGTCACGTGAATGTTTTCGGTATAATTGACAGATTTTCTTTTTGGGTATTTTCTACAGGAGCCCATATCCCCCACCTCTGTCCTGGGGCTTAAGTTGATGTTTCTATTTATCGTAACGCTTTATAATTTACACAAACGCAGAATCTGTTACACTGGTTACACATAAATAAATCGTTTAGTAGAGAACATTAAGTGAGTAGGTGAACGTGCCTTGCTTCTCAAAGACGCCAGAGATTTATGGAACGGGTCGTGCGTGTGCCACATTGTTTTATAACGTTGTTGTTGCAGATGCACTCAATAAACCCAGGAAAACATTTCCGGCTGCCGCACTTACTTAATGGATGCAATATTTTTACGAATCCGACCTGCACATTTCCATTTTAACGCTAATGCACTTATAAATGAGAAACGTGTAATTTACTTACCGGTGGATTCTTTTTCGTGAATTATTACACATATTTCCCCCCGTGCGCTGCACGTGACAAATGTAAATCTAACTAATCGATTTTATGAACAGCCTTCACTACAGCAAAACCAACGCATGTAAAACACACGTTATTTTGGGACACAAACACCGACGCCAAAGTAATTTAAACAAGAGAATGGACGAAATAACATTTTAAAATAATTACATTTGCATTAAACGTAATTGCTGTTTGTTTCATGATTCCGGCAGACACATTATTACCGAACGCAATTAATGTAATGGCTAAAAGATTCGATGGCACTTCAACAATTTGTAGCGTTTATTTAAGACGTTTATTTAGCATTAATGTGATCCATCCGTTCAACAAGTATGTTGATTTAAGAGCAGCCTGGGATTTAGGGCAAACGTCGGTTACTTTTAGAGTTTACCTCAAATATAAATTATCGTTGCGAGCTTTTGTATACTTAAGGACGTCGAATATTGCGCGAGATCTTTTATCGCCCTATTTACAAGGCGTCTTATTGAATTCACTGTGGGGATCTCCGCAGCGTATTAGTAAGAAATTTTTGGAAAGTAGAATTGCAACCTGTATATTCCCGTTAAATGGTAATGGTCCTCCACCTCAATTTTTCGTCGTTTTCTAAGGTCGTTCTTGTAGTTATGTTAGCAACAGTATAATTCAACTTTATTCATTTAGTTGAAAATAAAAACAACTACACAAATCTGACATGAAAACTCTATCCGGGTCGCACAATGAGTTCGAATAAACCCACAATTAATTGATTGACGATGACAAAATTTTATTTCGGAACAAATGAAAAGAAAGAGGCTTGTTTGGACAAATTAATTCAAGCGTTCGACAAATGAAATAAGAAAATCTTAAACATTTGTTCTTTTAGTAATCCTAATAATGCCATCGATCAACAGTTTGGAATAAACAAGGTACACTTTACTCCACAAACTCTTAAAAATTATCGGTGGCTGTGGGAACGGTTTAAACTAATAATTTGTTAAACATTGTTGTTGAGAAGCTCAACCGAAGGTCTCACGTTGCACTAAAACTGCTTCCTTGCTTCAATTTGACAAACCTTTTTCCGAATATGTCTTCAACTAATCAAATCGAGGGGACCACCCCAATAAATACCGTAAAGAAACGTACACGTTTTCAAACCGTCGCGAACCAGCTAGCCTGTAGCCTCCTGCTTACCGTATTTACCGAAACACTACTTCCATAAAAAATAAATCTCTTTCCGGTTTTTACAAATAAAACGCCAATCGCAATTGCCTTGATGACGCCAGCGTCCCTGCTTACGTCGAAAATACTGTTGAACCT